CTACTTATTTCGGCCAGTCTTAGTCTCTACTTATTTCGGTCAGTCTTGATCTCCGTCAGTCTCGATCTCCGCCTGTCTCTGTCAGTCTTGATCTCTGTCTGTGTCGGTCGCGGTTAGTCTTAGTCTCTGCCTATTTCGGTCAGTCTTGATCTCCGCCTATCTCTGTCAGTCTTGATCTCTGTCTGTGTCCGTCGTGGTTAGGTCTTAGTCTCTACCTATTTCGGTCAGTCTTGATCTCAGTCTGTCTCGGTCTCCGCCTGTCTTTGTTTCCGCCGATCTCGAACAGTCTCAATACATCGCTAGATGATCTACGGTTTTAAGAAAATGATAAATATTTATTAGAACGAACAATGTTGTATATTTTAGAGCTCTTCAACTGATGAAAATGCCGAACATTTCAAACAATTTGCTATAGAAGATAATGATCAACCGGAAAATAGTCGTAAACGTCGTTTATCACATTCAACGTCGACTGAAAAAGTGTTTCTAACATCATCAACAAAATCAGTTTATCGTATTGTTCCAATTAATAATGAGAATGAATACTCATTGTTTTTGTCAGATGATTTACAATATTTTATATTTAAATCAAATAATTTTGCATTAGTTAAACAATGTATTAATCAAGCATCATTTTTAACATGTTTAAAAATGTTTAAATTATCTGTTATATCTCATGAAAATATAAATTATTTGTGTCAACATGTAAATCAATTAATTGATGGATCATCAAAACAAATTCATACATATATTAAACAATCATCATTTATACTTCCTCTTATAAATAGATGGATTATTGAACAATTACCAGAAGCGATTAAACTTGGAGAAAAATTAAAAAAACTGTTAGATAAAAAGAGAAAATCTCATAGGTAAATAGATTTATTTTTCTTCATCAAAATTAGAATATGATAATAGTAGAGTGATTATTATTTCAACGAACTACCTTTAGAAGTTTGTGAAGAGAATTTTCTAGAAGGTAGGATGAGATCTATATATAGCTATGTAAATTACAAAATCGATCGATACTGGCGCTTGTAACAAAACAATAATTTCAAATACCAAAGTTAAATAACAAAGCAGTACCTGCGGAGAAGTTACAAGAAATGATTGACTTGAAAACATTCGGTCAATCTTCGAACGGCATGTTGAAAAGTGAGAGAACTATCATATTCCGTTGAATTTGAGAGATTTCTACATGAAGAATAGAATAAAATTGAGTTGGTCGTTTCAAATAACTTCTTAAACGTGATGTTTAGCTTTGATTGACACGGATGAAGAGAGGATCAACTATTAGTTCTGATACCTTGTGCCATGCCTTATCTGCATATATATATATTTGATTTTCCTATTCATTATTTCTCTACTGTAACTGTATAATCCATGCTATAAGAATATTTTTTATTTTCAGTACATCACAAGATTCCGACCAAAAATCTTTAATTCCAACAACATCACGTGTTTTATCATCAATATCTGATCAAATACATTCATTTGATCTTCGAATAAATACATTATATAATAAAAATTCTCCAAAGGAAATTTCACTTGATGATAAAATGGATACATCGAATACGAATATTCTTATACCATGGAATAATTTAAATGAATGTGAAGAATTATTAAAATGTTTAGTTAATAAAAATTTTGATTCATTAAAACGTCATCAATTACTTGTACAATTACAATGGTTAACAAATACTTCCGATGAATATCGTTCTCAATTATTTCAAACACTATTAAAATGTTGTCAATCAACTTATAAAGATGAATTTATTCAAAATCTTAATCAACAATTTAATAGTTCATTTGTTTTATTGAATATATTTTTGAAAAATAAATTTTCAAATGATGATTTTATGAAATTAATTAATGTATTAGATACATATGATACTGATAATAAAAGTATATTTCAAATGAAAATTAAAGATTTCAAACATATTATTGAACAATTTCAAAATAATAAAATTTTGTTAACCGATGATGAAAATCAAAAATCTTTAACGATTAATAATATGTTAAATATTTTTAATAGTTATTCATCTATAAGTGATTATAGAATTGAAAAAGATTTTTATAAATATTTAAAATCAAATAATCAAAATGAAGATGAATGTAAACGTTTATTAATGAATGTACTTGTTCAAGTTGAATATAAATTATCAGAACCAACAATTGGTATGATTTTAGATCAACTGGAAAAAATGGATTATAAATCTTCAAGGTAAAATTTATTCAAAACTAATGAGAAAAAAACTAAATTTAAATCGAGTAGTTAAAGATTTTTATACAAGGGGGGAAATGGCAGATGGGAATCCCTTGGAGTTCTTTTTAAAGTCCGTCGGAGTCTTGGATTTAAGAGTCGCAGAGTTCATGGAGTCTAGGATTCTTACAATCTGCCGTTTCCCTTTGCTTTTATAGATCTTCTTCACGAATAGAATATAATTAATAGGGAGTTACTGAGCCTAATATTTCATTATTAAACAAAATGCGATGATATAAATATAGAGAATGAACTACTACATACGTATCAGTGCCAGTTAGTGATCAGCGGAGTCATACTTTTTCATTCTGAAACCCGACTCCAATAGAGTCAGAATCAGATTTCGGACTCCTATGCAGCTCGCTAGTCTCAGTTCCCAGCTGCGTTTTATACAGCGAGTAGACTAGGTGGGTGCCGCCCACTCTAAAATTTGGTCTGCTCATCCGAAAAAAACAGTAGTTGTGTATTTTGAGATAGTCCAATTGGGCTCTAGGTAAATGCCGCCCACCCTAATTTTCGATTTGCCCTTCCGAAAAACGAAACCTAGATAAAACACTGGTCTCGAGTTCCGAACCGATACTCGTATATATCTAAATTACACCAATAAATCATATTGTTTTGTTGTACTCTTTATTAGATCATCAAGTACTTCAATTTATGCAAATCATCTTCTGTTCTCTCAACGAACAGACTCATCGATATCTCAACGTTTGCTATTAAAACGATTTCTTCATTCTTGTGATTGGCCAATAATTCTTAATTGTATATCGGATCTATTAACTTTATCACCATCAGATTCTACTCCATTTACATTTATAAATAATTCAACATTAACTCATCAACGTCTAATATCAACACGTTCATTAAAACAATCATGTTCATCATTATTAAACAATCGTGATAGTACTTTAATACTTGATATGTTGGAAGCATTCATAAAATTATCACCATTATGGTCTGGTAGAGAATTTAAAATGCTTGATCGTTGTCATGATGAATTATTATTTGATTTAAATGAACAACATATATATACATTAATACTTTATATACTTGATGAAGGTGAACGTCGATTAAATTCAAATGAAAATCATTATGAACAATATCAAAAACGTTATGAAACAATCTTATATAATTTAATAAAAAATCCTGAAAAGAAATTATTATTTCATAATTGTTTACAAAAATTTCTCATTGATTCCGAAACAATTCATTGGTTTAAAAATATTCTAACATCATTTTATTTTATTCTCTATATAAATCAATCAGATTTATTTAATGAAAATTTTTATTTAATTTTACCAAATTTATTTTCACAAATTAAACAACAATATAAACAATTAAATTTTATTAATACAAATTATGATTATATTATTCATGATTTATTAATACGTTTAAATAGTTATGATTTAATACCAACAGAAAATTTTTATGAAATTAATCTTTTATTAAAATATTATGTATCAAAATATCCATTTTTATTTTTAAAACATTTAAATAAAATTAAACTTGATTTACAATCACGTTTATCAACATTAACATATGAAGAATTTCATACAAGAATATCGAAACAACGAACATTTTTTCTTTCATTATTTGATTTAATATCACGTTTAAAACCATATATTTATGATTATATATATGAAAATGATTTTCAATTCATTCTTGATATATATATACGTTTGATAATAACACATTCATCAACATTAAATACATGTACGAAACAAAATATTTTATCATCGAATTATATAAAAGATTTAATTTATTTAATTGATGGTGTATTAGATTTTATCTATGATTATTTATATTCAACAATTAATAATCAACAACATTATGGATTATTTAAAACATATAATAATAAATTATTTGAAAAAATTCAAGAAAAAATACAGATTAATAAAGAATTATATCAATATTTAATGGCAAATAAACAGAATAAAATTGTCTATCATCTTACACAATTAAAAATACTATATGAAGCTATTAGAATTGATGATATAACAGGTAAAAATTATATAATAGATATCGAAATATAAATTATCTTACTCATACTGTAAATAAGCGATGGATATAAGTCTTTAGAGATGATACAGACAGAATTGAAAATAATAAGCTTTATTTATATTGTACCCAGTCAAACTCTTATAAAGAAAACATACCAGTTACTAAAATGAATAAGAAAATTAAACAAAGATTAAGATTACATCTAAATATCAACAATTTTTCAATATCTTTAACGTATTCATAAGTCGTGAAAGGTTTCATCTGCAGCAAGTAAAACACTTCAATACAACGCTTCCATTGTAAATATTTCCTCATTAACGATAAAAAGATCAACTCGTTTGATCAAAGTATAGTAGAGATATTCTATTTTTTTTCTAAGATAAAGAAGCTTCCGAAGCATTTTCTCTTATAAAATTCATCGAGAGGTCTCATCGTCTAATTAAAGCATTATCAATAAAAGAAAAGCATTTACATTTTATCACTTCATACTACTAACTAATATCATATATTTGTAACTAGTCTATTATGTTTTGTTAGGGAATAATCCTTATAACCCGTACGGTCCTAAAGGGACAATTTGGTTCAAATAACATGGACAATCTGAAATAAAAACCAAGAAATAGTAGCCGAGGTATACGATTTAAAAATCCACAAAAGAGATTTCATTTCTGTCCAAAGTTGAACATATGGATTTCGACCTACTCAATGTTTAACCTCTTCGTCTGTAAATCATTGGGCTTAAAGTCTGTTAGTATAGAATTCACCGGATTCACTGTTTTCAAATTAGTGGTTTGAATCTTTTCGATCTATGAAGGCAGCGAATCGGTTTCGCCCCTTCCTGTCACTTCGATCTGTGTACATTCAATTCCGATTGCTCTAACGCAACTAATCTATTCAGATTTTATAATTCAAAACTTTTAAAGAATATATCTTCTATTATTATTTTTTCATTTAGATTCTACAAGTACACCATTAAATGATGTAATTCCATTTGATGTTCGACTTTGTTTAGTCAATCGCGCTTCTTTCGATAATTCTTTAAAGCAAACATCAGATACATCATTACGAAATAAATTCATTGATATCCAACATTATCGTCTAAAATTATCTCTTTCAATTGATGAATATACTTCATCAGTTATAATTGACGATGTATTATCGACATTAAATGAACTAATATCTCATATAGATTATTATCTTACACTAGATCATATTGAATTAATAATGGATTCATTAACAAACTATCTTTTAAATGGTAATAAACAATTAAGTGAACGAACATATGAATTTATATTAAAATATATGGAAAAATATCCACAACATTCATTCGTATTCTATTCAACATATATTAAATGTCTTTTATCAACAAATGCAATTGTATTTCAAATGGCAACTGAACATTTTTCCTATTTTATTATTTATTTTCAATCAAAAGTAAATGAATTGTTTTCTATACTATTCAAACAAGGTCTTATTAATAAAATTGATGTTACAACATCAATAACACAAGCTATACGTTTACTTAATCTTCATCGTTATGATCCAATAACATATACGAATTTAACATCAACAATGCCATCAATAACAATGACATCAGCGATAACAACAACGACAACAACAATACCACCAACAACAACTGTCAATGATTGATTTAATTTTTATTTTCTTCATGGTCTTTCCCTTAAGTCTTTCTTTCGTTAATATCTGTTAGCTTAAAAAGAAAGTTTATATTTTTTTTCTTTGTGCCTATGTGTATATATATTTGTGTGTGTGTGTGTGTGTGTGTATATGCCCATTGAGACAAAAAAATATGAAGAAAACAGAAGTAAGCAACAAATATAATGTGTCTTTCTTTCATGTTTCTTTGTTTTTTTTCTCTCTTTTTGTTATTTGTGTTGATGTTTGAGGAATTATCATTCTAGATATGTTCAATTTATTGATTGGTATTAAAACAAAATGGAACAAAAAATGTGTATTTATATCATATGAAATCAAATGAGTTATTTTTGAGATAAATATCATGTCAAAATCTTTCTAGTTTAGTTTTTCTAAGACAGGATAAATATTGAACAAGTTGTGTTTCTAATACTAATAGATATACATCCAATTCGACGATAAATTGATTTCATTTATGAACTATTCAAGTAGTTCAAACCGTATTGAGTATTTAAATAATCGTCTAAGTATTTCTTGATATTTAAGAGAGACGAAATGAATATTCTAAGATTGAGTTGAATTCTACTAATATGGTTAAAGTTTTTCCAGAATGTCTTCAGTAAAGCATCGCACTGAGTGAGAGTGGGGCGGAATGGAAGACACCTCATCAAGACCCTAGTAGATCTTGATGAATTATTTTCTAACTCATTTCCATTCTGAACTCAGTCTATGTTTATTATTTAGTAGCTTTCATTACTGTGGCAAACTTTCTATTGATTGTGTGAAAAGATTCAAATCTATCCATTCAATGATAAATTGGCAAAAATAATCTTTTTGAATATTCATTATATCGATTGTTCATTTCATAATAAAGAATAGTTGATGAAATATCTATAGAACGTTTAGTTTGAACAAAATTTTATACTGCTTTTCAGATATGTCTTCTGGTTCGTCCTCAGCTACAAGTGCTAGTAATGCTAGCAAATCTGATAATAAAACAGTTGTTAGTGATGTTGAAGTAAGCTCTTTGTTTTTCTTTTTTATAAAATAGTTCTCTAAATATATTATACATAATTCTTTCTTAGACTGATCCATTTCAAGGTCTTGATGTGTCACGTTTATCAGCAGAAGATGTTGTTGCTCGAACACGTTTATTAGATAATGAAATAAAAGTTTGTATATTTTTTTATTTTTCGGAATAGAATTTCTAAATCGAAATATAATTTAAGATTATGAAAAATGATATTGTTCGAATATCTCATGAAACACAATCAACACGTGATCGGATTAAAGATAATAAAGAAAAAATCAAAGTTAATAAAACTTTGCCATATCTTGTATCAAATGTGATTGAAGTAATATTATTTTTATTTCTTATTCAAACAATTTTTTTATTGTATTAAATTAAAATAGTTATTTGATCTCGACCCGCAAGGTGAAGAAGATGAAGGTGCAAATATCGATCTTGATGCTCAACGACAAGGAAAATGTGCTGTTATTAAAACATCAACAAGACAAGTAAGAATTTAATTGAATAAAATTATCATATAGTGTTATTTATTGTTTTCATAGACTTACTTTTTACCAGTTATTGGTTTAGTTGATCCTGAAGAGATGAAACCAGCTGATTTAGTAGTAAGTTTATATTTAAACAAATATTCTTTATATATTTAAACATAAATTATCTAGGGTGTCAATAAAGATTCTTATTTGGTATTAGAAAAATTACCTGTTGAATATGATTCACGTGTAAAAGCAATGGAAGTTGATGAAAGGCCAACAGAACAATATGGTGATATTGGTGGTTTAGATAAACAAATTCAAGAATTAATTGAAGCTGTTGTTTTACCCATGACACATAAAGATCGTTTTGAAGCACTTGGTATTCAACCACCTAAAGGTGTTCTTCTCTATGGTCCACCAGGAACTGGTAAAACATTATTAGCACGTGCTTGTGCTGCGCAAACAAAATCAGCTTTTTTGAAATTAGCTGGACCGCAATTAGTTCAAATGTTTATTGGTAATTTAAATATAATAAATAATAAGATTAGAAAATTTATTTTGATTTGTAGGTGATGGAGCTAAATTAGTTCGAGATGCATTTGCATTAGCAAAAGAAAAAGCACCAGCAATTATTTTTATTGATGAATTAGATGCTATTGGAACAAAACGTTTTGATAGTGAAAAAGCTGGTGATCGAGAAGTACAAAGAACTATGCTTGAACTTCTTAATCAACTTGATGGTTTTCAACCCAATCATGATATCAAGTAAAGAAAATACAAAAATGAATATTTTCTTAATTGACTTTTTTTATATTATTAGAGTTATTGCTGCAACAAATCGTGTCGATATTCTTGATCCAGCTCTTTTACGTTCTGGTCGACTTGATCGAAAAATTGAATTTCCTCATCCTAATGAAACGGTAATATATTTTAATCGAGTGTTTTTTTTCCGTAAAACTATAGAAACACTCGTAAAACATGTATGAAATATTAAATACATACGAATATTCAAAACCTCGTTATGAATTCTATTTAGTGCAATTCAAAAATAAGTTATTTCTCGAAAAAAAAGATTTTATATTAAAAATACGATTGTTGTTAAATGTTCTTTATGATAGAAGTTATTTTTCTAGGCTCGTGCACGTATCATGCAAATTCATAGTCGAAAAATGAATACAAATAAAGATGTCAACTTTGAAGAATTATCTCGATGTACAGATGATTTTAATGGTGCACAATGTAAAGCTGTTTGCATTGAAGCTGTATGTATATAAATAGATGAAGTAACATGACATTTTATTAATATTTTTCTTTTGTTAGGGTATGATTGCTTTACGTCGAGGTGGAACTGAAGTTCAACATGAAGATTTTATGGATGCTATTCTTGAAGTACAAGCGAAAAAGAAAACGAATTTGAATTATTATGCTTGATAGAATCAAGTATTTTCTTCGTCTTTTTTTTATAGTTAATTCAATCTTTCGTTTGTATTGCTCTATTTTCTTCTTGTCTTTTAAAACGTTAATAAAAAAAAACACATTAAACTATATAAATATATACTTAAATCATAATTATATCTATCATTGATGATTATTATGTTCATCTTCAGTTGGAGATTTTACTGCGGATGATAACCATAATTTTAATGACTCTCGTTTTTTTCCATGTACAACTGGTATCATTGATTGAAGACTTTTGGCTTGAATAAGAAATGAATAATCTGTTAGGTTGAAGACATCCGCGCTGGAAAGATTGGTGTTATTATTTGGACCAAAATATCCTGTGTAAATAAAATAAATGATTGTGTAAATAAAAAAGGATATCTTTTACGATAATGCGCAATATTTCCGACTCCAATTCCAACACCAGCACCTATTGTAACAGCTGCTAATGCACCAAGAAAAAAAATTCCAAATCGACGTGCTGCTCGATCACTTAAGCAAAAGAAAAACAATTAATTAAATAAAATATTATTCTTTTTAAGATACCCTTGAACTGAAGGATTTATAGTTTGAGGTATAAGTACTACTGGTGGTTGATTAACTTGCATTATGATTAATTTTCAATCGAAACTTCTAGTTTATTTTAAATATAAACTCGTGCGATACCTTTGAAGACAATGATCAAAATATTCGACATTGTTATTTACTTCTCCTTCATATTCAATGACAAAATACAAATCCATATTTCTACAAGTTACGCATCATCGATTTATAGAAAAATGTCGCTCATTTTTCGCTAATCAAACAATCTTTCTTAACATCTTGTTAGTAACATTGATTCTGAAACCTTACAAATTACATAATACTTTCTTTCTTAAAGACATATAATCATTTAAAATGTCAATAGCTAATTACAAACAACTGAGAAGAATTATTTTTAAGTAGACGATTGAAGGTCATAGAAAAAAAGCATGTTATTATTCGTTCGTATGAAGGTTATCAAATTAGCATGTAATATATCATTCTGAAATAGAAAATTCTTTTTTGCATTAAAAAAAATAAACTTTTAGAAAAAAATATAATTGCGCGCTGTTTGTTAATAGAGAATGTTTATCACCATTGTCTTTGTTCTAATATGGATAAATCTATTGAATAGATATTCTATATTTCAATTCAATATACTTTTCATTTTTACATTTCTTATTGATTTTGTATTGATTTCTTCTTATTTATCATTGCCTTGGTATCGTGTCAATAATAATCAATTGATTTTTTGGCCTTATATATCAAATAGATCTTTATTTATTCAGCAAAATCATACTTTACTATCAAAAGAGTATACATTTAAAAATCAATTACAAAATAAAGTTCGACGTTTAATGTTTTTAAACATACAGAATCTATTTCGAAAGACTATATTACACACAAATAATAATAATAATTCTTCATTGTTTAATTATCGTTGTCCTATATGTTTTAATAATGAACAATATTCATTTCGATGGATTGCATTAGGATGTGGTCATATTTTATGTTCATTATGTACTCAAAATCTTTATTCTGGTAATAAACCTATTTGTCCTAATTGTCGATCACCTATTATTCTTTCTGATCTAACAATTCTTTATATTTAAGACATTGTCAAGTTAATAGTCAATTGACATTCGTCTTCTATTAATTTTTTTAAACTATTTTTCTCTTCCTTTCTTAAGTAAAAATGAAAAAATAATGCATCTATAACATTTTAAATAATAGATTTAAATGGAATACTACCAATTGAAAAATAAGTAAACAACAAAAATGTTCGGTATTTAATTTTATAAAAACAGACATATGAAATCTATAATTCTCTCTCTCTTACTTTCAACGATTGATTGTTCCTTCGTTAGTTGATAAATGTTGTTCTAATATGTTAGAAAAATAAAAAAAAAGGAGACGAAGAAATAAATTATTACATTAAAAAAAAAGATCAATCATTTAAAAAAATTGGAAGTAAGTTAGAATATTTATTTTTGTCAGCATTCAATCAACGACAAAAATACTTACATTTTTTTTTCAAACAAAAATGAAGAACAAATTTTTAGTTTGATCAAACATATTCCCGATCTATATATCAAGTTAATCAAAGAAAACGATACAAAAATGTATAGTACATATATGCCTGTGATCGATCATCATGGTATTTATAGTAAAAAACGAATGAATATACAACCGTTGGTAAGTTTTTTAATTAATTAGATAATTTGATATAAATAAATAATTTGACAAATATTTTTTCTAGTTACCAATTCCTGTTAGTTATGCAACAGCAGCTATACCAACATACGCACCGTTTGGTACTGAATATACACCTGATCAAAAAGTGAAAATAGTCGGTGGTCGTCAAATAACAATGTCTGATTCGAATGCTCATAATTTTAACTATACAAATGGATCATTAACAAAACAGTTGTAAGTTACATATAAGAAATTAATATGTTAGTTCTTACAAGAAGAAAGAAACGAAAAAGTCTATTTTTGATTGATTCTATTGATTTTAAAAACGAGGAAAAATCAAAATTCTATTATAACTAAATAAAGAACACGCGTATATTCTTCCTGTTCTCTTTCTTTTCTTCTTGTATAAAACACATTCACCAATCAGTAAAAAAATAAAGTTACCCAAGCAACTGACTTTGCTATTCTTTGTCGACGATAAAAAAAGACAGAGCCGTAACAACAACAAACATATATATATATATACGCTTATAAAAGAAAAGTACGACGGTATTTCGTGTCTACTGACAACGTATCATATTCGTTCAATTAAAGAGAAGATCGTTTTTCTTTTTTGAGTATTTCATATTGAAATGTCTTTTACACGTTCTCAACCTGTATCAAGTCATGTCTAGTGAGATAATTCTTTCTAATTACAATCAATTAATGTTCATATATTTTTTTAGTGATCCAGATTTAGCACCAACAAAATCTATTCAACATGTTCATGCAATCGATCAAGCTCAATGGCCACAACAAAATAGACAAAGATTTGATACAACTTATCGTACTGAATATATCAATCGTATTCGACATCCAGTATGTATTCATTAAAATCAGATTCTCTTCACAGATAAAAAAACGAGTGAATTATTTACTAAGAAAACGATATCATAATATCTATCTAGGAGTATAATCCATGGTATCAACAACCGGTAATTAAAATTAATTGCTAAATCTTCATCAATATTCTTATTATTGCTACTACACATTTTCTCTGCTATGATTGATATTCAGTGAAATTCTTTTTAAAAAGAAAAAGAAAACTAATACAACTCGGTATTCTCAAAAACTCTTTACATCTAAGTATACTTCTTTTAAGGCAATAAAATTAATTTTTTTCTTTGATAATGTCATTCATAATGTATGTGAATATTCTCAGTCTATTCTATTCTCACACTTATTACTTTTGTCTTATATCAATCTTTCTCGATCATAATTAATTAAACTATTCTATTACAAAATGAATTTTATTCGATTGTATTAGCACTAGTTTGATTTGATTCTCTTGGTGAAAAAATTATTTACATAAATATTCTATCACCATGTTTTTTTTATTTCTATTAAAAAATTAATTTCTTTTTTTCAAATAGAATGAAGCTGCACGACCAGTTCGACAACAAAAAAGTTCACTGAATAATTTCTTTGTATTACCACCAATTGCTTCACAAACAACTAGAACAGATGGTCAACAACAACAACCATATGTAGATCAAGAAGTACCAAGTAATCAAATGATGTCTAATGGTATACCACCAATAAATTTTTATGGACAACAACAAGGAATGATGAATAACGGAGATACATATTTACCTGAAGAACCTGTTTTATTAACTGATTATGAAGAACAACGTTTAAGTGAACAAATTCGTACACAATTAGGAAATCCAACAATTATTGATAGATTAAAATTATTTTATGAAGAATTAGCTAAATATGACCCAAATGTAACAAACTTTGTGCATTATTCAAATATTCAATTAGTTGCTTCACAACTTGGAGTAAGTTTCTTTCCCTTCTTTTATTAAAAATTATTTTTCTTTTGTAGTTAAATCTTGATGAAGATACATTGCGGTTTGCTATGTGTAAGTTTGTTTCACCTAATCAAGGACGTGGTTATGTTAATTATGAGGATTTGATTCGATATTTTGGCAAATGTCTATCAGCTATATATCCGAATCAATATGGGTGAGTAATGTTTTCTATAAATTCAACTTAAAAAAAGAATCCAGATAAAAAGAAAAAGATAGTCATTTTTTTGATTCAGTCCTTCACGGTCTTATGATTCTCCGATGTATCAAAATCCGAATTTTTATGGTTATCAACAACATCGATATCGATATCAATACGAACCTAACCAAAAGTTTAATTATCCCTAACCTTTTTTTCATCACTACCTTTAAATGTCTAAAAACGAAAGTTTAAAATTGAATATAGTGCATTCTATTTGTTTTTTTTTGTGTTCGTAATACAAATATATTCTAAAATATATACCAAAAGCACACTATCTTATTTCGGTGTTGTCAGTTGTCACTTTATAGGAGCCGACAGTACCAGCATGGTAAGTTCTGGTCACTGCATTCCAGACACCATCAATTTATCTCTCAAGGGTAGGTATTATAATATAAATTTTTCAAAAAAAAAATAAAATCCTGATCTTTTTTTTATAATGCTTACCCACCATTCTCTCTCCTTCGATTTATTTGTTTTCCTCAAATAACATGAATTTTACTGTATTGATATTCATCATTAACCTCTAACATTTATCTATATGAATATATATTGATTAGTCTATCGACAATGTTCAAAGTTTACTGATTGAATCAATACAGCGAAGTTCCTGTTTCCTTTTTTTCTCGCTCCTTAACTTTTGCTTGCATGTACATTGCGCAGCATGCAACGATTTTAAAATGCATGATGTTCAATACTTAGTAGAATCAATTCCTATGCTACTTAATTTCTATTTTCGTTGTAATATATTATTTTTTATGAAATAGTTTACAACAAAATTTAAATACAACAAATACGAATGGTTTTTATAATCAACCGCTTAATCAACAAAATCCGTATCAAACAGGAATGAGAGTTGATAATAAGGATGATGGTAGTTTTGACCCTGATGAACGACAAATTCGCAATTTATTAAAACAAAATATAAAAAATATTGAGTATAATGGTCAAATTGATTTTAATAAATTATATAATGAATTACGTATTGCTGATCGAAGTCAAACTGGTGTTTTAAATCAACATCAAATTGAAGAAGTTGTTTATAAAGTTCGTATACCATTACAACGTTCATTGATATTTCAAATACTTGAAAAACATTGCAAAGCTTACGCAAAATTATATAAGTAGATATAGATATATATTCTCTAATAAATTAATTTTATATAATTAATTAAATAGATGGGATGCTTTTGTTCAATATTTACAACAACAAATTGCTGATATGAATAATGTGCAACCAGATCAATCAAATCCAATGTATACACAAGTAAAATAGAAAAAAAAGACATTTATTGAGATAATAGAAAAATTTCATCTTTAGAATAATAATAATAATAATAATAATTCAACTCGTAATCAATTGCTTGAACAACTTCGAAGAGAATACAAAGAAAAAGATCGTATACAAATTATTGAAAATTATGCTATAGATAATAATGTATCACGATTAGTAAATAAATCAATATTTTATAAAGTATACAAAATAACAATGTTTTAATCGTTTCATTCTAGGATCCTAATAATCCAACAGCATGGTTTTCACGTTTTCTACGTTTTGCTAATGCTATGTATGGTCATCGTACTAGTACAGTTAGAGAACGTATGTTTAGAAGAAAAAGAAAACATCAATAAAAATTTCTCATTTTTTTTCTTTTCAGAAGAATATGTATTACCTCGACAAGAAGCACTTCGACATTTCCGTGCTTATAATCATGTATATGATTTAAAAATCGAAGAAGATAAATTACAACGAGTACTTGATTCATGTGCTAGAAATGCAAATATTTCTATCGATGATTCACTTAAACAGTTTGCTAAATGAGCATATTTCTTTTTATTATATCTTTTGAAGATGCTTTTTTTCTTGTTAAAAAAATATTGAAACTGATTGTCGATAATTATGTTATGAATTAGTATGATTAAATCCGAGATCATCTTATTTTTAAAGTATTAATTTCAGAAATAGAGCTTTGTTTATATGCAATCTTATCTCACACGAAAGGATTATTTTTCCATATATATATAAATAATTGTTTTTGCGCAATTATATTTTCATAGACTATGAAGAAAGATTCTAAACAATGAAATAACCGGTAAAATTCTAATTTATGAAAATGCCCTCGAGGAAAAAGACAAATTTCAAAGTAAAAACATTTCTATTTCTTCTTCACGTAATACGTCCAATTATTCACCTATGTATTTATTTGACGTAAAAATATCACTTGAAAATTTAGTTAAAAAAAAGAGAAGAAAGAGTTGCGTATAATGCCGAAAATTATCAACATAAGTACTATGTAATGCAAATATCGTACAAATTCGTATTTTAAATACATTATCAGATATTAAAAGAAAAAGTATTGTATTAATCTTTCGAGGCTACAATAATAAATTGATAAAAAAAAAAGAAGATATCAATATTCTTTGATGTACATATAACCTGTCAATTAACTATATCTTGATGTCTTTTTTATATGAGAATAATTGTTTTTTCAATGTTTTTAATTATATCTGTAAAAATACAGATAATTATCTTCGTTATTATTTTTCTATGAGATAGAGCTTTGATTAAAATTTTACATTTTCCTCTCGATCTGATATTTTGAATATAGAAGAAATGTAAGTATAATATTTTGTTAGTTATTTGTCATAGATGTATAGTAAGCCATTTTGATCAATGTACAATACAGTGTGTCTCTGTAGTGCACTTTTTTTTTCTTCCCAACTAAACTTAAGAGTAGAATGATGCCGCTGCATACTGATTACCATGGCTTGAAATGTGTAAGTAGTCGGAATAAAGAAGGCTTCGTTATGTCTATGTGTAGACGACACATACATGTACATGTGAATGGTGAGTGATTGCTTTTTAGATTACTATCGAGAGAAACAAAAACGTATTTATAGAGAGAGAAGAAAACATTTTCGTTATTGTTGTCAAAGCAGAGGCAAAAAAAAAGGACCTTGGAGAAGCAATTAGAATATACTATAATACTTTTCTTATTTTTTCTCCTTCGATTACTATTATCGCATACTGAGAATATGAGGGTCAATCAAATATAATTATTTTGATCGCTTTTCTTTTTTTTTTCTTCTTCCATATATGTCAATACAACTGTATATTTTGCTGAATCTAATCCATTTTATCTTCACAAAATAATAATTAAATTGACAGTAACAACAATAATAATAAAAGAAATAACAATAATTATCCTTAGTTATAAAAATAAATTTCTTTTTATATATATATATATATACATAGGCACGAACAGGATTTCATTGCATTAACAAGGATAAAACGACGATTATGACTCGGCATTTATAATGATCTTATCGATGCAATATAAAATTTATTTCAATAGATGTAAATAGATACGTATGTATTCACAAATCGATTTTCAACCTTCATCAATGAATATTTATATTATGAAATGATGAATATAGATGTGTAAATGAGCAACAGAGTCATGTTCCGTTGCACTCGAGTGCCAACATATACTCGGGTAATACATATACACACACACATACACACATATATATATATATATATATATGTAATGTCGTTTTTTCTTTCGTTCTCTTATCTCTAAGGCTCGATCTTTGAGGCAGGTTGCTATCATTAAAAAACACAGAAAGAATGAAAAAGAGAAAAAAAGCGATGATCTTAATGTCAAATTCCGACTATCCTACGTCCGTATTCAGCAATCTCTCTTCCGCTCTCTGTCATTTTTGGTCATTACCGTATGTATACTGTCATTTTGATTTCTTTTCTATTGCTACTTTTTTTGTTTCTTCTTTGTCTTCTTATTCTTCTTCTCCATCTTGGACACATGTGTATGTTTTTTCTTATTCTTCATTCATTCTAAGACGCAGAATTTATTTGTTGAAAAAAAAAGAAGAAAGAAACCAAGTTGAGAACCGCATGTCGAGCATCGTTTTTCGTCTAATATTACTACATTCTTTCATGTGTTATTTATTGTCGAACAATCTATTACTAGTATTGAATTGAACAATATTAAAAGCAATTTGTTCATTCTAGTAAGAAAAAAAATCAATCAACACTTTGTTATTTTTACTAATCGTATTACAATCGGATGACGAATGATAGAACACTTTGTATTCTGCTTTTTTTCTTGCATGCCTTGAGAATAGAAATGAAAACATTCTAAGCATAACCTTGTCTTTTCGCTGTCAAACAGTTGCTTGAGGTATCAAAATCAGTATATATATATATATATATATGTATATAAATATAAACGAATATATATATATATATACGCCCTTACTACCTTGCCTTTCCACTTCAGTTTTCACCACATTATACGAATAATAAAGTGTTTCAACAAATATTTGACAGTGTTGTAACTAAAAAAAAAAGGAGAGGAGAAAGTCGAAGTATAGGATGCTGCAAGTTTTTGTCGATAAAAAAAAGAGAGAGACAGAGAGAAAGGAAGAGAGAGGGAGAGTCATAAAAATAGTGATGTATATGTCACCTGAGTTGAGTAGACATACATGTATATACATCTATCAACATCTATAGAATTATCCAAATGAATAATTGACATCCATATATTGTTATGTCAAGGTTAGTTTACATATAAGTATATTGCTTTTGAGTAATTACAATAAGAAACATATCCGTCTATTGTGAATTTGTTGACAATCGATCGTACGTTAGGGAAAAGTAATAAATTTCAGGCGCCCGTCAGTCATACAGTTCTATTCTATTGTATATGATAAAATGCAGACAACTAGAATGCTTTTCCTTCCTTTTTTTATATTTTAGATGTGAATATTTGATTAAGTATAAATATAAAGATAATACGTAATGGATCCTTTTGATTATGATAATTCATCATCGGTTAGTCGTCTTAATTCAATAGAAGGAATACAATTTGATGGACGAGCATATGCACTTTATGGTAAGAATAATTCTAATCTATGTTAATGATTTATTTTTGTTATTGTTTTAGACTCTAATTTTAAAATTCATGATACACTTACTATAAATTTTCAAATACAAACATTTACTCAAAATGGTTTACTATTATGGATTGGAGATAGTTTACCAGAATCAAGTTTTACAATTGAAATTCAAAATCGACAAGTAAGAGTTTCAATAGATAGTAATCGATTTCACATATATATTTTCTATGCATAATATATGCATTATTAAAAATTAATAAAAACATATTCAAGGTTTGACATTGTAATTTTTGATGTCTATCTTGACATCACCGTTTTTTTTTTGAGAAATCACACAAAAACATTTACAATCACTGACTATTATTTTCTCATAAATAAAAAATCATTTATTTTCGATAAATTATTAGATTGTTACAGTTAGTAAATCATAGTGTTTTCTGTAAAAAACAATATTAGTTATACCGAGAAAATAAGTATCAGAATACTTAATTATTTCATCTATTTTTCTAGCTTATAGCTCGAGCTGTTGTACGAGGTCAACCATTCAGTGTTCGTACAAATTTTACAAAAAATCGTTTATGCGATGGTGTTTGGCATTGTGTACAAGTACGTCTTGATGGTAGTCTCTTATCAATGAAAGTTGATAAACGACAATTTACAAAAACAGAACCACGTATAAATTCAATTGATATGCGTGGTCCACTTTTTATTGCTGGTTACGCAGAGAATTATTCGCCGCCATATTTATCTGTTCGTACTCAAAATTTTTTTCATGGAAGTATACGTAATTTAAGGGTTAATAATAAGCAAGTTGATTGGCTCACACCACGAAATAGTGGTTTTGCAGCTGCTACACCCGAATTTCATCGATATAGTTCCGAAGGTACATCAAATAATATTCGACCATTTACAAGTTTATCGGCAGCAACATCAGGATTTCCTCGATATAGTCCAGAAACTATAATAAATAATGTTCGATCAGTTCCAAGTTCGTCAGCAACAACATCAGGATTTCCTCGATATAGTCCAGAAACTACAATAAATAATGTTCGATCAGTTCCAAGTTCGTCAGCAGCAACATCAGGATTTCCTCGATATAGTCCAGAAACTATAATAAACAATATTCGATCATTTCCAAGTTCGTCAACAGCAACAAATCAGGGATATGAAACAGCATCATTTGCAACGTCATCTACTTACAGTGGTAGAAGAAAAGTTCTGTAAAAATTTATAAATAATTGATAAAAAACTAAATAATACAGTGATGAAGTTTAATCCGGTTTATGTGATCTTTTTTTTTCTTCTTCTTCCTTTTGTCCTTGTTTTAAAAAATTGTAGAAAAATAGTCTATATAAATTTTTCTATTTCGCTTTTGTGTATTTCAAATTTCCTGTCTTTTGTGTATGGATTGTTATTTTACGATCATATTGCTGAATAAGTGGTATGCTAGTGCTGCTACTTATTCTTTCTTTTTTCTTCTTCTTCTTCGTCTCATGTATATAATCAACAAAATTTTGAGTAATACATTATTACTCTATATAAAGAATTTTGATATACATTGAGAATTTTATTTATGTTTTTTTTTGATCAATTGAAATGAATCTTATATTTTAATCTATCATGCAAATCGATTTGATCTACTCATAAGATGAAAGTAGATTTTGTTCAATCTTATGAATGTAGAATAATAGTGAACACATTGAAATCATGATTTATAAGAAGTTCACTGAATACATTGATTTTTCTTATGTGAAATATAATGGAATGAGATGTTCATACATTACTTAACATAAACACGATGAATTCAAAGTGAACTTGTTTGTCAAATACTACAAGTCGATTATGTATGTAGAATATGATATATGATTTGTTGCATAAACAATAAAATATAAAAGTTAGAGGTAAACTATATCATATTAATGATTCTGATAATATTTGTTATACGAGATTTTTTACTATTATGTATGTGATTATAAGGTCAAGAGGAGGTTAAATTAGATTAGTTGTAAAATTCTGTGTATTGAGCAAATATCTGCTTAATAATTTGAATATACAACTGAAATATTACACTTATTATCAATCGTTTATATTGTTACATTGTATTCGTCAAAAGGCTATTAGAGATTAATAAACGATTGTCGTTTATAAAGTTAATTTAACGTATTTTAATGACTGGATTGTTTTTTAAATTTTATGACATTAAGCAAGCAGTTCATGGTAACAATAGGTTTTAAGTATCTTTTTGTTTGATTGATCCATTTCCAGGGTTCTTGTTGTGAATCTATGTAGAATTTGCATTATTAAATGGTATAATACATACTTATAGTATTAAATTTAATACTTGATAAAAAAAGAGTTAAGATAAAAAAATGTTGTTTCAGAGTGAATACCCTTCATGTTTTGAATTATATAAATTACAATGTGTGAATATAAAATACGAGTAGTTGTGATTGTAAGCAATTTCTTCATAAAGTTGAATCAATAGTTATTAACAAGAACCACCTGGCGAAAGATAATAGAATTAGCAATAAGTATTGGTGAATGTTATACAGAATTAAAGCAAGAAGTCTTGTAGATGAAGGAGTGTATTCAATAAAAACTCAATCAATAATAATAAATAAGATAGATGATGAATAATCAGTTTCTATTCATGATATTTATAATACACTTTAGAATATGACATATCAAATGGAAAAAAAAATTCATCAATTAAGATAAGACGAATGGATATACACAAATTTGTATAAATATTGATGAATATTATAACTAGTGACTGCATATAAATAGCTGATACGTCAAAACATTCTTACAATACCTGACGTTTATTTGACGAGAATTTAGTACAAAGAGAACTATATCAGTTTAATATAAATGTGTTGAATATAGATGGACTTATTCAATAAAAACACACTCATAGTAGGAGGATTCTAAAGCAACATTTTGTATGGATGGGAACGATTTTTTTAATAGGAACATGACTAATATTAGAAAAAATGAACTCTAATTATCAGAACAGTTGTAGTATATCTCTGATTAATAGATTCGATCTTATTATTGACAAAAGTGTCACAGAGAGTGCTTGAAGTCTCTGATCATTATTAAGTAATATCTGTTTTTTATTCATCTATATACTGTTATAAATACATATTGGTTAGTATCATTTACACTATAGAATATCTCAAAAGCTTTTTCTACTTTTATTTGTGACATACTTTCGCTATTTAATATGACTGTCCAGTATTTTTTTAGCCAATGATAATAAAAGAATAGAATTATTTTCTATTTAGAATACTTTCCGTAAAAAAGTCGTCAGATATAATATCAAGATAAAATTTAAAAAATTAAAGAAAGCAATCGTTGATGGTCGAACTTTTTGTAATCATTTAAAAGTCAGATAGTAAATATAGTGAAATTGAATAGTAATAATAGATAAAAAATATAATTAAAACAGGCTTGAATATATTTTGTAACTCATCATCTCTTTAGTATACATCAACGTTAGTATTAGTGTTTGTAAATTGAACAGATAACAAAACATGCTTTAGATCTTCACATGTATTCTCGAAAGATATATAACAAGAGAAAATATTGAGAATATAAGTATTGCATAACACAAAGAGACGACAGATACACATATTAATATAAAAGAAAACTAAATATATAAATAAAAATAAATGTTTAGACAGAATACTTAGATGAATCACAGTATCAATATCAAATTCTAATAACTACTTCTAAAAAATTCAGAGATGGATAAAGTTATATTACAACTAAAAATGTTTATTTTTTGTTAGCTGTATCAATTTCGTCTTGTTCTTTTTCATCAGGTGGATCTCGTTCTTCTTTTTCTCGAGTGAGAAAAGGATTTGGTGAATCAGGTCCAGCATCAGCTAATTTATGATTAACTCTAAAATATAGAATTTATTCAATACATTAAATAAAGAAGAAAATCTCGTAACATACTGGCGATGAGTAGCTTCATCAGCTCGTACAGCCAATAAAACATCTTTCATCATAGCATCATCTTTTAATTTCCAATAAGATTTAGCAATTGATGGTGCTGGTGTTTTTGACCATATAGGTAATCTACCAGCATCAAGTTCTTGAAGACATCGAGTATATGTAATAACAGCTTCTTCTTCAAGAAAACCAACAAAACGATGGCAAACTGTTGGTGAAATAAGATAAGTAACAAAAAATGCACTTAAAAAACGAAGTTTAATTTCAATAATAATATGAAAATCAATTTTTACTTGAAAAACACACCTTGACCCAATAAAACAAATGCACGAAAGATCCATCCAGGATTTCGTAATTCTAAAAATGTTAATAAATGCATTCGTTCATTTTCAGCTTCTGATAAAAGAGTATGAATCCACCCATGATCACGCTGCATTGTACCTTTAAATGTCAGAAAAATAAATAAAGCAAGAATGAAAAATATTAACTTACGAAGTGATTTCATATGACGACTCATGCCAGCAACCATACCTGGTACACCTGCAATCGATTCTAAAAATATAATTCGTCTTAACCATTGTTTTTCATTCATAGGTTTTCGTTGTCGATGTTTGGTTTTATTTTTATCCGATTCTGATTCAATAGGCACATGAACATAACCCGTAAATGTATCGAAAAAGAAACGCATCGTTTGCACGGCTGCATAAGCAATTCGATCATGCCATGATTCAAATTTTTTGTGTGTTATTTTAACAGAATGAAGTTCTTTTTCCGAATAAATCTCATGATACATCATGTATTTGTACGGATCTAAAGAGTTTGAGCAAAAAAACAAACACTTTTGATTTATGACATTTTTCTTGTACATACTTTTTTCTCTGGCTGCAGCTTTTGATTCAATTCGCATGTGTGGTTGTTCATCAAATTTCTCTTTTTTACTTGAATTGCTTTTATCAGGTAATTTTTCTTTATTTAGAAGTGGTACACATGTATGAAGGAGAGAACGTTGTTGGAAAGAATTACTATGAAGAAGTTGTTTAGTTATTGACGGCGGTATATAACGAATATGAAACAATAATTTCATGTTCTTCATTTTTCAGATCTGCAAATATAAAACTATAAATTGAATTATTTTCTTTAAGCAAATTCATATTTTATTGATAATTCGAAACTGATTTTAGGATTAAATGCATTATAAAATGAATATTTATATGTGAGTAAAGCTCTTAGAAGTTTCTTTTTATTAAGCATTATTGTTGATTAAATAAACTAATAATAATATTTTATTTAATAACAAAACAACCATGCGACACACTCTTAGATAATAGTTTTTTTTATTTCATTGTCAATATTAATGAAGTACATATACAAGAACAAAAATTTAAAGATTATCAGACTATTTTGTCGTAATTTTTCGTTTCACATAACGATTTTTAACTTGTTCAACACATTTATGAGCAAGAAAAAGCATACTTGAAGTAAGCAAATAAAATATTATTGAATATGTAATTGTATTATTGGGCATTTTTGATTTAAACCAATTTGAAGCTAAACCAAGTACTATCACGAAACAAGAGAGAGTAAAGAGAAGTACACCTGATGTTGCATGATAAATACGAAGTTGAGCATAAGTTAATCGAAGAGAATGAAGATATTGTTGAAAAATAGTAAGAAAAAGACCAGCTATTGCTTGTAATAATGACCAAATAAATGCAATAAGTCCTATAAGTCCATGCCTTGAAATGAATAATAAAATATACAAATACTTTCATGTTTTTAATTTACCAGGTAGTAAAATGTGGTTTGTCTCGTTGTTGTTTATTTAAATAAATTGCTATGAAAGCAATAATTGAACAGATGATCGTACCAACTTGTAAAAGTGAATGTATAAGAATTTGTTTTTTTCGTGTTAATGTTCGAGAACGTGATGTATGATCTGTGGAGAAAATATATATCGCTTGAAACATACAACCTAGGTACTATAATAAATTATTCATGTATATTATTGTCTAGTATTACAAATCGATCTACTTACACCAGCAGCCATCAGCGATGGATGTAGTTTAAATAATCCACTTTCCCATATTGACAAAACAACAAATAACAATACGAGTGATATCGAAACAGTAATAGCGATTCTTCTCATTCTAGAAAAATGTAATTAATCAAAATTTTAGAATGAATAAAGCTGTTATATAAATACTATTGAGAAATATTAACAAAAGTATCTATTAAATATAAATCAACGAGTATAAAATCATTTCAGATGTAAATTTAGAAAAAAAACAATTAACAAAAAAATAAATTTGGCTAAAAACAAAAAAATTAATTTTCAGTTGTTCGATCAATGGAAATAAATAGAAAACAAAAATCATTCGTTCATATTACACGATATATAAGATAAAAAAGATGTTCAATTAAATCTTTTAAAGAATTCATCTGCAGCCATTCGTCCACGTGAACTAACTGCTAATACCATTTCACTAACTTCTTTATCAATTTCTTCAACAAAATAAATTATAAAATCAACAAGACGATGTTTATACATTTGTTCAGCATGAAAATTTGTAATTAAAAAGCTTATATCATATCCCTAAATAAATACGTATAGAAAATAACGAATTAATATTATTTTATTTAAACATACTTCAATTGGTTTTCGACGAAGTATATAAAAATCATCAGCACGTTGCATCATAAAACGCATTAACCGTTTACATAGAATTTTTTCTAGCTCATTTGACTATTGAAAAGAAAACAATTTGTTTTTTGTGTTATAAAAATAAATGATTTTACTTGTTTAACAGCAATACTGATTCGAATCGAATTAATAGAACCTTCAATAAGAACACGTTGATCTGGATTACGACTTATTGTAACTGGATTAAGTGATAAATTTATATTAGATCTAAATTAAATGAGAAGATAAAGATTTATTTTATCATAAAATATATGAAACATACTTGACTTCAACTTCTGGTTTATTATGACGTTCGACAAGTTGTGATTCAAAATTTTCAATACAAAAAGCTGCTTGAAGTGTTGTTCGAATAACATCAAGATATGCTTTCTGAGCAGATTCCTACATATATAACAAAAAATAGCCTTTTTAGTAAAAAAAACAAAGAAAAGTTCTTTATCTACTCTTTTAGGTACTGCTTGTGCCATTGTCGAATATGATATGAAGAGAAAGGAAAGAAAAAGTTTAATAACCCAACAAGACAAGAATATCACAAATAAATATTAGATAAATAGATGAACAAGATTGTGGACGGAAATGGTTAGCTAGATAAATAATATTAAACAGAACAAAATGATTCGTTCATTGATAATACTATAGAAGAGTTATATCCTCCGATCTCAGCGAAGAATAGCGACATCTATCTGTAAAAATTAGACAAAAAATATTTTAATGATTATTGTTTGAATCAAATATAAAAATTTGTTTTTGCTAAGATATTTTTACTATAGTTTTTAAATTCAAGATTAAAATTTCAATGTGAACCTCAAAGAAATCTACATAAGACATAGAAATAATATTGGTTCATTTTTGTTGCTCCGAAACTGAATATATAAATCAATGACCGACCATGTATGTCATTTATGGATTCCCGTATTTATTTTTATATTAAAATTCTATTTTAAAACCAATTTTAGCTTCATATAGAGAATTAATAGATGAATTCTCTAATATATTAGTGCTATAGCGAATGTCTTGAAGGTCAAGTATTTGTGTACTAAAGTAATTTTAAGTAGAGAACTGAAAGATATTTTTTTCGAGTATCTTACTAAAATTACTCTAACACATATCATTACTTTGAAATCAAACATTCGTCAAATAATATATATTAAATATAATATTCTCATTAAAATTAATATCGTTACCGATTTTCATAAATGAAATATTTTGTTTTTAATCGTAATCCAAAAATAGAAACCTTATGTATAATCTATTTTATTTCTAAGACGAATATAAATTTTCAATAGTCTAACAAGACATTTATAAATAGTTAATTACAATGAACCGATGTTAATACGTTATTCAATTCCAATAGACTTTATTTTACAAAAATCCGTAAATACTTGTTATTATTATTAAATTTCATATATAAAAATTTTACTAAATTTAGTTTGATCAACACAAATAAAAGTATTAATTATAATAGCGATAATATTTTATAATAACTGGACAAACCAGTTGTTTGTCGATAAATAGCGCCATCTCAATTTCGATTTAAATTCTATTGACCAATAAACCACATATAAAACGACTAATAAAACATAAACCTTTTCCTCTAATCGATCGAACATTTCTACCCTTATCGTTTTATTTATTTTAGATTTGAATTGTTGCGAAAACTATCGTTCATTTTCGCACATCGATAGACTAAGAATGGTATGAAATTATTTCTATGTTCAAATCTTATAGTTAAAAAATTTCTTTTTTTTTTCTTCAAATAGTCTAATCTTTATATACTATATGAACATGCATCTGGTTATGCATTATTTCGTGTGCGTGAATTTGAAGAAATTGGTATGAATTTACCTCAAGTAGAAGCAAGTGTAGTTGATTTATCAAAATTTGCTACTGTTGTTAAACTTGTTGCATTCTATCCATTTCAATCTGGTATTAATGCACTTGATAACATAAATGCAGTTTCTGAAGGTCAGTCTTAAAAACTTATATTTTTTTTGAAAAAAAAATTTTTTTTTTAAGGTTTGGTTCATGATGATCTCCGAACATTTCTTGATACAAATTTACCAAAAGAAAAAAAACGTGCAAAAATGATTCTCGGTGTTGCTGATACCCGTAGTGGATCAACAATAAATGAACTTTTTTCAATTACATGCCAACATACTGGTGTTGTACCTGAACTTTTACGAGGTAAGAACTTATTCAGGAAAAAAAAGAAAACTAATTAATTATATAAATTTTTGTTTCAAGGTCTTCGACTTCATTTTCCAAATTTAGTCAAAGGTCTTACAGATCAAAACCAAAATAAAGCTCAACTTGGTTTAGGTCATGCATATTCACGTGCCAAAGTTAAGTTTAATGTTAATCGTGTTGATAACATGATCATTCAATCGATTGCTCTACTCGATCAACTCGATAAAGATATAAACACATTTGCTATGCGTATTCGGTAAATAATATTTTGTTTTTCTCTTCTTAAATTAAAATTATTTTGAATTTAATAGAGAATGGTATGGGTATCATTTTCCAGAATTAATCCGAATTATACCAGATAATTATACATATGCACGTGCTGTTTATTTAATTAAAAATCGTAAAGATTTTTCAAATGATCGTGAAGATGAATTAGAAGCAATTACAATGGATAGTGGAAAAACAGGAGCAGTTTTTGAAGCAATGAAAACAACAATCGGTTAGAATTGATTTATTTTTCAAAAATAAATAGAAGAAATAAATATTATGTATTTTTAGGAATGGATATTTCACCAATTGATCTTATTAATATCGAATCATTTGCTAATCGAGTTATTCATTTATTTGAATACCGAAAAAGCTTACAAGAAGTAAAATATTTGTTTTGTTTTTGAAAATTTTCTAATATGAATTTAATTTATAGTATCTACGAAGTAAAATGGGACAAGTCGCACCTAATTTAGCTCAATTAATTGGCGAACAGGTAATTAATTAGTTTTATTACTAAAGAAAAGCAAAAATAGAGGACTTATACATTATATTGCACATATACAACTGTAGATGTCATTAAGTACCCTCTAGTTAGTATTATAACTTGTTTTTTCATTCGCATTGACTACCGCAATGAAATGGGAATTATTTAATAGTTGTACGCGGATATTTTTCTAAACTAATGAAATAATTATAGGTTGGTGCTCGTCTTATTGCTCATGCTGGTAGTTTAACAAATTTGGCTAAATATCCAGCATCAACAATTCAAATATTGGGTGCTGAAAAAGCTCTCTTTCGGTAAGATATAATTATTGAATTTTGTTTATATACAATAATATATTCATGTAGAGCATTAAAAACCAAAGGAAATACTCCAAAATATGGTCTCATTTATCATTCATCACATATTGGTAAAGCCAATACACAAAATAAAGGCCGTATATCACGTTATCTTGCTAATAAATGTGCCATTGCATCACGAATTGATTGTTTTTCTGGTTTGTTAATTTTTTAAAAAGAAAAAACAAGATTTTAGTTTGATTTGTTTTCTCTTTAAAGATATTCCAACTTCTATATTTGGTGATCGTTTAAAACAACAAGTATCAGATCGATTAAAATTCTACGATAGTGGAGAATTACCCGCAAAAAATGTTGATGTTATGACATTAGCTTTACAAGAAGCTGAAACGGAACGTGAAGAAATTTTAACAAAAGAAAGAAAACGAAAGAAAAAAGAAAAAAAACACCGTAAAGAAGCTGAAGCTGCAGCGCATGCTAATGGAGCAGGCGCACTTGAAGCCGGAGTTAACAAAATGGAAGTTGCATAAATTTTTTTGTTTTGTTGTTTTTGTTTACTTCCAATTTGTTGTTTATTTGTTTCGACAAATAGAGAAGACTTCTTGTTAAAAAAAAATTAATTGTTTAGTACAACTTGTTTTTCAATTTGTTGTAGATATAAATAATGACAACAAGAAAACAAACACCAAGTGATTTTCTTAAACAAATTATTGGACGACCAGTAGTTGTTAAACTTAATAGTGGTGTTGGTAAGAATTTCATACGAGCTAAAGACTATTGTAAAATTGATTTCATTTAGATTATCGTGGTGTATTAGCATGTCTTGATGGGTATATGAATATAGCATTAGAACAAACTGAAGAATATAGTGGTGGACAACTTAAAAGCAAATATGGTGATGCATTTATTCGTGGCAATAATGTTTTATATATATCGACACAGCGAAAGAAATGAAATTTAGAAGATTGTATAAATAAACAAGTGAAAAAGTCAAACTGTTATCGTAAAAACGAGATTAATACTGAAAAAAATAAATTTTAAAACTTGATTTTCCAATTGATATATATTTGTATATCGAGAGAGTGAGAGATTCTGTTGGGTATTTAAACGATATTCGTACTTGGATTTATATTCCAACGAATACATGGTAATTGATTTTGTTCACGCATTCGTACGAATGTATAAGCAAATAAACCAAATAATGTCAGCATAATACCAGTAAATTGTTTAAAATTAAGAGTATCTTGAAATAAAAGTAAACCACCAACAAGAATTGAGACTGTTTTCATATGACCGATCATATTATATGTTAATGGTGATCTAAATTTAAAGTTTTTAATTTAAAAATAAAAAAAAAGAATTAAAATAAATTTTACTTACGTATTTTTTATAACCCAATAAACTGATAAATTAACAACAAAAGCAACAATACCCGAAGCTACAACTGCTGTTATTGCTACACGTTGTTCTTCACTTGTTGTATATGTTGGAAAACTTTCCATACATAATATAAATGGTACAAGTAAAACTGCTGATAATGGTGCTTGATAATAAAGTAATTGTTGAGAATTCATATCTAAGTCTTTCAAACGTTCACTAACCCAAACTTGATAAAGTGATGCAGCCATAACACCAATTGCTGCTATGACTGTACCAAATAATGTTAATTTAATATCATTGACTGAATGTGTACATACACCAACAACAACAGGTATCAATGTAGCTATAACCATATTTGAATATTTTGTTTTATAATATTGCCATGTTATGACTGCAACAACTGGTGTTGTTAAAACTTTAAATAATTGATATGTACCTATTGTATTATATTCTAATGATAAATTTGTAAATACAACAAAAGCACAAAATGCTACAGCTAATGGTAAAACTTTAACTATTGGAACTGATTTACGGACGAATGTATTCATTTGTAAACATATAATAAGACCTAATGATGTAAATGCCATTTGTATAGCAGTTAATGTCATTGTTTTTATTTGACAATGAGAAAATATATATTTATTAAGAAATATAATACCAATTGAAGCTAAAATATTTGTTGCACAACCTGAGAATACGCGAATATGTTCTTGAATCGCATTTTTTGGTGGTAAAGGTATTGGACGTTTATGTGATAGTGGATCGACATCAATCTATACAAAAAAACATAATTAGAATAATAAATTTTTTTATATAAAGCAAATACAAGTGTTGCTTTTATATCAGTAGTAGTAATACTGTTTGCATCGTTGCCATGTGAATAACCATGGTTTGTTGACATTGTGTATGCAGTAATGCAAATAAAATATGTTTGGTATTACAATAGACCCGATTTGAAAGTCAAATCATATCTAGAAACAATACCAGACTTGATACCTTTTTTTAAAAACTTTTTCTGTCTTACAGCGTGAGAATGTATGATGAGTAAGTATAGAAAAAAAACCCATTTGCTAAGCGTTCGTGTTAGTTCATGCACATGCAGAAAGAGAGAAAAAAAATGAAGGACGAGTAAAACGGAAGAAGAAAATGAACCACTCAAATTTTGAATGATACATTATAAAATTTCAAGGATATTTGAGGCAAAATATTACTGTCAGAAGAAATAATATCTATATACTCATTGAAGGTTTTTTGCTTCAATCAATATATAATTTTTCTCTATCATTTGTTGAGATAGCTGAATACTCTTCGATGATATATGTTTATTATTAAACAAGAATACATCATGCAAAGCAAGAAGAAGAAGAAAAAACATAGCGTGGCTGTGTCTGTGTATTTTTTTTACGACGAGCGACTGTGCATATATATATATATATTATATATAATGAAGCGAAAAGGAAAAGAGAACAAACAACCACCTTAAAAAAAAGAAAAATTATGCGATTTTAGCGCGCAGGAGAAAAAAACCTCTCTTTTTTCTTTCTTTATAATTGTTTGACTTCGTTGACTATTTAAAATCGAGTGAAAGAAAAAGAAAAAAAAACAGGTGATACAGAAAGGAAAAAAAGGAATGTAACCTGTGCAGGATTAAAATTTAGTTTAGATAAATATTTAAATACTAATAATAATGTGGAATCTAAGTTTTGTCGATAGTACTTGTTGAGTATTAGAAGATTGTGTATTGCAAATATATGTCTTTTTCAACCTTGACTAACAAAGCTAATTAGAATAAATAAAAAAGATAGATGAATCATAAATAAACATGAATACTATTTCATTATTGAAATCAATTCGAATTCTTTATATTCCTCCATATTATGAACATCATTTTGAATTAGCAGTTGATAGATTAACCATACATGATAAACATATTGACTATCAAGTATTTACTATTGATAAAAAATATATAATAACCAATGATCTTAATTTATTATTATCTATGTGTCGAACTATAATTCAAGAAGAACATATACAAATGTTGATTGCTGATAGTCATATAGGTCAATTAATTGTAGCAAAATTATGTCAAGAATATCCACAATTATATAATAAGGGAATGAATTTTTTAAGCACACTTCAATGTATTAACCGATATTTAATGATCAATCTCTTTGGAGTCAATGAATGTGTACCTACTTTATTTATTGATATAGCCGAAGATCAGAAAATAAATTCTGAAAATATGCAAATCTTTTTACCAGATAATAAAATAAATGGTTATGTAAAATCATTATATGGTTTCGATAATCAATTGTCTAGTTTCTATTTTTCATCATCGGAAATGTATAGTGAAACTATTAATACTTATATTAAACTTTATAAAGAGCAACATTTAACAAAACTTCTTTCTCTTTTTCGAATTTATACTTCAATAGAACAATATCCATTTATATTTAAATCAAGTTATCTTATTCAACCTTTTTTCGATCTTACTATATATCCACATTGGCGTCTTGTTATTGCTAATGCATGCATATTTGATAAAGAAATTATTATGTGGCCACTTGTAGATGGTTATTCTGGATGGTAAATTTTATTGTTTTGAATAGAACAATTTAATAAACTTGATTTTAATCATTTTATAGGCCATTTCTTGCTGAAAAACCATTGGCAATTATGCCAATTATTGTTTGTCCAAGTCGACAATTAACAGTTGAACAACAAAATAAAATCTATATTCATTTTCGACAACATCTTAATTATCTTATAGAAAATCATCATCTTCATTATGGTTGGATTGAATGTTCTTATTTTATTTCATGTACAAATGAAATTCGTTTAATATCAATTAAACCGACATATTCAGTTTATTTAACTGAAGCATTCAATTCTATCAATCAATATGGAAATCCAGTTATAGCTCTTGTTCAATTATCGAATCATCAACGACCTCAAACACCTATTCTTAATGGAAAAACTGTTTATATTCATAGATTATATACAAATGTTCAAGAAAAATATTGTATCAATGATTTAATTAATATGAAAGAAATTAAAAGAATTCATCGATCAAATAGTTGTATGAATTATTATGTTCGATTACGTTTTCAAGAAGATGATATAATAAATAATGATAATAAACAAATATATACTGAAATTGGTTTTATACAAGTAAATGGTGATTATTATGAAATTGGTTTAAGAAATTTAATTGAATTTCGTTATATATTATTGAAGAAACCTGAATTAATTCCATTTAGTCATCCATCTATGTTAATTAATAATCCATATCAATTTGATTCTATTACATGTTTACCATCGAAACAATTACTTGAACAATTGGAAAATATTCGAATACAAGAACAAAAAGACTTAATTTGAATGATGACATAAGAGGTGTATGATGAATATCTCAAGAATAGCAATCGCTAGTAACCTATAGTTTTCATCAATCAAAAGAGATTAAGTCGTTGCGTCTTTTTCTTGAATAATGTTTACGATAAAATAATTTTTTCCCAAAAATATATAAGATATGAAGAATGATAGTATCCGTTGGTTTCTCGATGTTTGAGTATCAATATTTTGTAAAGGTTCTATGCATGTCAACTGATCTTTCATTGTGAACTCATTTATTCGTATCTATTTCTGAAGACAACGTTTTGAACGCTTATAAGTGTCTTCAGTCTTGAAAGGGTTAGTTTTAAAATGATTCTATCATATACATTACTTGAATTGAAAGAGACACCGATTCAACCTTTTTCCAAGAATAATCCTTGTTACTGATTCAATTCTGTTAAGAATTTAATATCTTGAATTTATTCAAACATGCAGATTTATAAAACGATCTTCAAGAATATTTTTTAACATAGAATTGAACGTTTATTTATTGGTAATTTATTAGTTTATAAACAAAAAAAAGAAGAAGAAGAAAGTTCTTATGTGAAGAAGTAAATAAAGTGTGTGAAAAGAATAAAATAAATTTATATAGAATTCGTATGAATTAATTAAACACTGTTTGTCGTTTCATTTTATATTCGATATTATTAAGGAAGAAGAAAAAATAGGAAGAAAAATCAAAATTATTGAATATTTATCATTGGTAGACATATCGATTCGTAAAATAATCGAATGAAAAACATTCACCGGACGGTGTAGAAATAGAAGCAAGAAAAAAAAAGAAGAAAAACGAACTATAAAGTTTTAATTATCAAGTTGACATATCATAGCTACACCACGTCCTATCCAATGTGCTTCTGGTTTATCAGATGGAATTTTCATTGCTATCACGAAATTTGTACTATGTCCTGTTGTTGATAAAACACCACGTCGTTCTGTTGTTTTATAAACAGGTGCTGTATAAGATGGTATTTGTTGTAATTCATCACGTTTAGCTGGACAAATCCACAGTACAGGCATTGTATCAAATAAAATTTTCTGTTGAGATTCAGCAAGTTTACGTGTTTTTCGATCGTATCGAGCACCTTCAAGATATAAACCTTTTATATATGCGCCTAAAATAATACATAGAAAAATCATATGATATATATATATGAGAAAATAGATTAATTACCATCATCAGGTGCTTTACTAGGTTCTTTATCATCCATAACTTCATAATTAAATCCGAGAAGATCAATAGGTATGGTATATTTTCGAGCATAATTTTGTTGAACACCGGTGAGAAAAGCTTGTGTGAAAAAGAATCCACTAATCCATAAACAACTTGGTACACCTTTTTCATACCAATCCTATTAGTAATAAAAAGAAAAACGAAAGATGAAATAAATATAATGATATGTAATTTTTTCGGCTTATTTTTAATAGGGGGGAAACAAAACAAATGGGAAATGAAAATCTTATGAAATTTATCATGAGAGAAGGAAGAAGAAAAAATATTGTTTCTATTTTCAAAATAGTTTCATTGAATTTTCAAATAATCGTGCTAAATCTTCTTGTGTATGTGTTAATGGTGCTAATTTTGTTACACGTTGTTGTGGTATTGTTGCTTTAACTAATGCTGGAATGTCACTATTTGTATAACCAAGTGCTTGTAAACCATTATCAACATGAACATCATATAAAAATTGACGTAAAACATCACTTAAAATTTTACCAGCATCTTTATGTGGACGATTAAGAAATTTACTTTTTGTTTCACCACCAGTTGCTAAAATAGAAGCAACTTCTAAATGACGTTCAGGACATGCAGGAGCAGTAAATTCAAAAACCGCTGGTGAAGTCATTACAACAGATAGACCATGTGGAATAATTGGATGATCTGTTGGATAATCTTTAGCATGATATGTACGAACATGACCCGATATACCATAAGACATGCCATGACAAAGATGAACACCAGCATTACCAAAACCAATACCAGCCATAGTAGATGCTAAATGCATTTGTGTTCGAGCTTCAGCATCATCATTTTCATATACAATCGATCGTTTAAGATATTTAGCAACAGCTCGTAAGGATTGTATTGACCAAATATCACTAATTGGATTTGAACCTTGATATGTTGGTCGTTCAATTGGATCTTTTGGTCTTGGTGTACGTTGATTAAATGGTATAGCAGTATAGGATTCAATAGCATGACATAGAACATCAAAACCAGAATTAGCTGCTACACGTGATGGCATTGTTTGAACAAAATCTGGATCAATTAATCCAAGTGTTGGTCTCATTGAACGATGAGCAATACCAGTTTTAGCATGTAATTCTTCATAATCAAATATAGCTACACCAGTTGTTTCACTACCTGTTCCAGCTGTTGTTGGTACAGCAATACATGGTTTAAGTGTATGTCGTACAGGTAAACCTTTACCAATTGGTGGATTAACATAATCAAGAAAATCTGTTGCTTCTTTATTTGGAGCTGATGCAAATAGATTTGCTGCTTTACATGTATCCATAACAGAACCACCACCAACAGCGACATAACCATCAAATTCTTCTTGACAAGCAAAATGAATAGCTTCTTTAAAACTAGTATCAGTTGGTTCAACACGTATTTTATCAAAAATTTTATATTTTATTTGTTTTGTTTCTAATGCACGAAGAACATTTTCAAATGATTTCAATTGTCGAATACGTTCATCGGTAAATAAAGCAATATTTTTACAATTTAAATTTCGAAGATCAAAACCAAGTTCTTGAATAACACCAGGACCAAATCGAACTGTTGAACATGCCATTTCAAAAGCATAATCACTTTTAAGTCCACCTCCATGAGCTGGGCAACATTGGTTTGTACGTTCGATTGCACCAAGTAACGATAAAACACGTGTTCGTGCTGTTAACGATAACATATTTTCTTTCTTTATGTCTTATTTAATTTCTGCCTTTTCTCTCGTCTATATTCGTTTTTTTTTATACGATAGTTAAGTAAAGTCGCAATAGAAACGCAACACGAAGAAGAAAAGAAAAACAAAAAATAACAGATTTTCTTTTGTTGCTTCTTACCTGGAGAAATTTTAGTCGAGCAATAAAATCGTTAACATATGAGCCCAATGGTTTTAACCTAAAATTATAGATAAATATAAAAATATTAATTTATAAATAAAACTAATCTTTCGAAAACTACTCAATATTATCTCAGACAATGATTCTTTAATAGTAACTGGAAAACTTACGATGGATAGGATTTCTTTTTCCATGTAGCAGGAATTTTTGATTTAAGCATTGATCCAAATACTTCTTCTAATTCTGCTGACATAACAACAAGACCTTTAATTGCTTTTTGTACATCGATTAATGATTGGCGAACAGATATTAAGAGTCGATTAAATCGACCCATTTCTTGTACAAGTACAGTATTCATACCTATATTGAAAGTATATTTATATAAATAAAACATTTTTAAAAATATATATATATTATACTTTGTTTATATTCAGTTGGATATTTTCTCATAGCCATTTCAATATTAAAATTTGGTGGTAATTTAGTAAGAATTTCAGAAGCTACTTCACTAACAAGATCATCAGGTGATTTGCCTGTACTACCAGATCCTCCTTTCGCCTAAAATAAATAAATTCAATATTTATATTGATTAAATAAAATAATATTCATTCTTATTAATATAAAAACAACGCATAAGTATATATATTAGTATAAAGAATAGCAGATAAATATAATTAATTAGCACATTCATAGCAAAAGAATTAATTATCCAGCGACTTACTTTTGATTTAGTCTATAATTAATAAATAAATAGAAAGAAAATAATTGTGAATTTCAATATAAAAATTTTCTATTTTTCTTTCTATATTATAAATAGATCGTACCTGTGTTAGAAGGATATTTTCAAATAATTGATTTGTTTCATTTTGATCTTTTGTAATATCAGCATTTGCATGAAAACCAAATATATTTGGATCAGCATTTAATGGTAATTTTTGAATATAATTCATATATGAATCATACTAAATTAAGAAATAATGTTTTCAAATTATTTTAAGACATTTAATTAATACTTACATCACCATCAGGTGGTGCATAATACAAGCCACTATCATCAAAACGAAAGTCATCGGAATCAATTACAGGTGGAGAATAAAATTGGCTGAGTAATGTTTTTAATGTTCGGCGATCCCAATCATCAGTTACTAATAGAAATCAAAACAATAAAATATTTCCAATCAATATTATTTCACTTACCACGACCACCGTAGTTCTATAAAAAAAAAGAAAAAATATATATATTAATAAATAATTATATCAATATAACTTACACATTCGCCTGTTAAATATTTAATAGCATCAAATTGAACATCCTATTAAAAAAACAAATTTTTTGTTTTAGAGAAAATAATATAGATATTTTTTATACATCATATTGATTAAGAAACATATTCAATTGTTGTACAGAAATACGTAAATCAGTTTCATTGAATTCATATGGAATGTTCCCTAGAATTTGCAAGAATATTAAAATAAATTCGAAAATAAATTTTTAACTTACATCCTAATGGACCAAATTTTCGTCGTTCTTGTACTAATGCATGGAAGAAGCAAAGGCCAAATAAAAGTTTTTTCCATGGACGCTATAGAATAAGAAATAATTATATATACGAATTAAAAATCTTATTGATACATACTGGATTTTTTGCATTACCAAAAAATTCTGGATCTTTAATTGGATCACTTAAATATGATCGTAAAAGATTGAAACGTAAACCTTTTGGTGCTTCATTTGTTAATTTAACACCATTTTGTAATATAGTTACAGGAAATTGATTACTTGGATATGATGTTAACCAAAGACGAAAATCTGGATGAATAGTATCTGGATTGAATTCCTATGAAAAAAAACGTTTTATTTATAATTAAAAACACGAATTAATTTTATACTTCGCAAATCTTTTCAAGTTGAGGCATCCATGATGGAGCTAAATGACAATTTTGTAATACAACCCAATTGCCTTCTTTAACACCTTTTTGAATATTTTGTACAGCATATGGACCTCTGGAAAAAAGAAAAATAATGTAAATAAGAAAAAAAAACATCAAACTTACTGTCCTTGACCTAATGAAAGTGATGGCATTTTAGCACCACCAAAACCCTAAATAATGAATATTAGAAAATAATTTCAGAGCTTTTTGTACATACCATATCATCTGCATATTTACTCAATGACGACATTGGATCAGAACCTGGTGATAAAACAAATATAATTGGTGTTGTACATGTTGAATCTAGATATGATTTAGCTAGATCAAATGGTGGTGGTTCAATATATTTTTGACCCAAATGTATACGGACGAAATCTTGTACAGCTGGTACAACTTTATCTGGTCTTATACAACGTATAACACACATACGTTGAAAATCTTGTAAATTTTTTTGCCATTCTTCTGGAAATTTTTCTTTATGTGGTTCAAGTGAATCATAAACGATTTTCCAAGCATCTTTTTGTGCAAGAAAATTTTTTCTTATATCTTTAAATACTGTTAATTCATCTAGACGAACAAGTTCATCCCAAGATTTTACTGGTAACCATGCTGTTGGATTTGAAAATGTGTTTGTTAATGCAACACCACCCGTTAATAAAAATCTCCATTCTTCATCATCAATTTTTTTATCATATTTAAGTAAATTAACACATAATAAAAATGAAAATAATAATTTATCTTTTTCAAATAATGATCGACATATATTACTATATAATGAATATGTAAAATGATTACGTAAATTAGCTAAACGTGTTTCCAATACATCAGATTTTTCCGAATTTTCAATTGATGCAATAAATAAGTTAACAAACCATGTTAGAGAATATTGATACATAGGTTCAATATTAGCTAAATCAGCAATTGAAAAGAATAGAATTGTTGAATGAACAGCAATAGGTGTATATCCTAATCGAGCAGCATCGATTTTTTTTTCTGTTTCTTCAGCTACTAATTGTTTTTCACTAATATCATTTGCTAATAATTTTGAACTTGATAGAACATTAATAGCAGCTTCATCTTCGAGGATATTGCCTGATGATGAACTTAAAACTTCAAGAATTTTATCTTCAATTTCTTTTAACATTCGTTTATTTTCAGCTCCTTGTATAATTAAAGAATTTTTTTCTTCTTCTAATTCAGGACGTTCACGTGCAACGACAATACCTATTTTTGTTATATCAATGAAAATTATCTATTAAATAAATTCTTATCAATTACCTAAAATTTGATCTTGAAGACCTTCGAATGTAATCATGAAATTGAGTAGGACAACTTTAACAGCAGTTTCAGGTAAATAATGTGGATTACGTAATTTTGTTGTCATATAAAAACTAGAAAATAAACAAAAATAAGAAAAATCTTTAGAATTTTGATCTAATTTTACCGAAAATCTGGTGAATATTCAATAACTGAATCACCAAGTTTAATACATAGACTACCACCTTGTTTAAATGTTTGTTTAAGAAGTAATGGTTCAAGCATTGGATCAATTTCTTCACCGACATTTTCCATTAAAACTGGATGTCCAAATTGAATACAATTCTCAAGTACACGTACATAATCAGAATCGGAAGGTTTAATAATCTATAAATGATTACATACAATTAAATATTATTTCAAAAAAACAATTTTACATGTAAATTTTTTGGTTTTTCCATATTTTTAATCCATTTATTTGCTTGTCCTTGTGGATCGATCATTAACGGCCATCGTCGTGAGTTACTAAATTTTAATAAAATATAGACAAAATTGTTCCTATTAAATTATATTTACCTTTGTATGATACCATTTTCAACTGAAAATGCATCACTAGGTAATCCAGCAATATTCCATGCTCGAATAACAACTGGTTCTCCAAGTGTACCAACAAGTGAAAATACTGCAGAACGTGGAAGATTTCTTTCTTCAATTAATTTATTCCATTCATTAATCATATCCTAATTAGAAATAATTGAATTTAATAAAAACTAAAACTGTTTTTTTTTTATATACTTGACGGAAAACAGCAGTAAATGCTCCTAAATAAGCAATAATACCACTTGATAAAAGTATATCACCAATAAGATTATCATATTGATGTGTTAAATCTTTTGCAGCTTGCATCCAACGTGTTTTTTCTCCACCAAGTCCACCAATTAAAGTTTCGGCACGTGTTAATTTTGTTTTACAATCCGCAACCTATTTATAAATCGAAATTTTTCTTTAAAAAAATATTTTCAAAAGTCGATCATACTTGTTTAGATAATTCATCTTTTTTCGCTAAATTAGCATCAAGATTTCTTTGTAGAACAGCTAATTTTTCCTGTACAGTTCTTAAATGTGCACGTTTCTCAACTAAAATAGCTTCAGCTGAAGCAACTTGAGCTTCTGCAGCTGCTAAAGCTAATTTTTTTGGTGCTACAATTTTAGCTACAACATCATATTTATCCATAGCCATTGTCCATTTTGCTAAACCAGCACAAGCTTGTGAAACAGTTTCAACTTTTTCTGGTTGAAAATTTGGATCAGGTACATATTTATCTCGAATTTTTTTCATTAATTGTGGTGGAATTTCATCACGTTTATAAGTTAATAATGTTTTAAGAAAACCTGAAGTACCCAGAACACGAACTGATGTTTTCCACCAATCATCTTTACGTTGGCCAGTAGCTGGATCAACAACTTTTTCAGCTTGTTCACCAAGTAATATACAGATAGCTTCCATAACAGTTTTAACTGCACCTGGTGGATTTTTCATGGCTTTCATTTCAGCAATTTGTTCAGGTTCTAAATGAAAACAAAAACAACTAAAAAGAAAACAAAAGAAAAGTTTTTTATTTACTAATTGTATTTAAAGCTTCAGTTGCTTTTTTAAATGCTGGCATAGCTGCTTCTAATTCTAAATCACATTCAGCTTTGATTTTATCAGCTCCTGCTTTTTGTTCATTAGCTTTTTCTTCATCGACACGTACAAATTGTTCTTGTTTAACAGCTTCCGTTTTTTCTTTTTCAACAATAACTAATGTTTCATCAACTTTTTTATCCATCTCAACAAGTTGTGGTTGTAAATTTTCTAAAGTTTTTTGCATTTTACCAACTTGTGATGCAGCATTTTCAAGTTTTTCTAAACCAACTTCATAACGTGTTCGTGCTGCTAATAATGCTGAACGACGTTTTTCAAGTAAATTTTTAAATGTATTAATTAATTCAAGATAGGATGTTGGTGTGACATAATTATGTCGATCAAGTTCAGCAAGAAAACGTTTTGAAACTGTTTGTGTACTAACATGAAAATATTTACATATATCTATACATGATCGACGTTCTTCATCAGTCATATCAGTTTCTTCAAGAAATTTTTGTGCAACTGCTTCTAAAGCATCTTCAGGCCAACTTTGAAACCAATCAATTGTACAACAATTAACTAATGATGGAAATTTTCTTAAACGACTACGAAATGCATCACCAATCGGACTCATTGCAAGTACAATATGTAATTGATCACGACATCGTTGAATAAACATATTAAATAATGCTAATGGACTACCATCGGTTTGTTTACTTTTATCACGTTGTCTAAATTAAAAAACAAAAATGAAAATTTTCTTGTCCAAAAAGTCTTATAAATTATCTATAATAATAAACTCTTCTAGATAAATATATGTACGAAACAACAATGGAGGAAAAAATGATTTCATGCATATGGGAAACATTGATACAACATTATTTATATATTTCAAATACAAACCCTGGTGTTTGTTTTTTCGCTTGAGCCATATTTCTATATATTATGAGTGTTAATATTCAATTATTTCTCAAGCAAAAAAAAACGTTTTTAAGAGATATTCTAATACATACCTATCAAGTATTCTCATTTTATCACAAATTTCAGCTTTTTCATCAGCTGGAAATAGATTTGGTACTTCACCACTATTTAATAAATTATTAACATCTTCTAAGAATGATTCATCTTTAATTTGTGTATCACAGAAAAGAAAGACAAGATGATTATCTGTTTCAGTTGCTTTACGTAAGGCACGTTTTAAATCTTCACGCCATTCATTAGTTGTATAACTTTTAGATATTTCAACTTGAAATGTGTCCATCTCAGACATATGTGCTGCAAGACGTGTTAATGACTGTCGACCGGAACCACCAACACCAACTAATAATGCATGTGATCGAGGTTGTTTTATAATACGTGATACACGTGAAACATGTTCAATAGCGAAACTAAATAAAAATTAAGAAATATTTAAGAAAAAAAATTCTTTTCCATTTTTACCGAAACAAAACAAGATTCATTGGTTTTTTTGACATTTGATTAAATTCTTCGAGATATGTTTCACTAACTGTACGTAATTGTTCTAAATTTGTTACTTCTAAATAACGTTTTTGATCGTTTTTCGGATCACCAAAATCACAATAGATTAAACTACGTAAATTATCTTCTGAAACAGTACCAGATTTTTCAACATCTAAATGTCCTAATAATTGATGAAAATTTTCACGTAAAACTTCTTTGGAAGTTTTGATAACTTGTTCATATAACCATTTACGATCTTCATCATCAATTAAACGATCATAAAATACACGAAGAATTTCATGAATCCTATTTAAATAATTCAAATATCGATTTAAATCATATGGAGCTACTTACCAATTACGTTTCATTGCTGCTGGATCTGGACATGATTCAGGATCACTTAATGAAAGACCTTGAATAACACGTGAGAAATCACGTAAATTAAATAGATAATGTGATTTAGCCGGAGTTGGAAGAAGTGCAAGAAGAGCAGCTTTATATATATTAAGTGTAGCTTGAACAATCATTGGAATAACAAGTTTAAATTGATCATTAAAATTTCTATATAGATAAATAAATAAAAATATTTTCAAAAACTTTCGAATTCATACTTAGTCGATATATGCCATTCCATAATTTTAGTAAAAATAGTTGTTAATACTTTATCATCAAATTCATTAATACCAAGTGTATTAAAATGACGTAGAAAACGTGCTGTTACCGCATTACGACCACCACCTGGGGGTCCCATCGCACAAATAAGTTGCATATCAGTAAGACCAATACGTGATTGATCTTTTCGATCATACCAATTACCATGATCAAGCCATTGACGTAATAATTCAATTGGTGGCTAAAAGAGAATAAAGATTTTAATTTTTCTTATCTAAGAAAAACAATTTTAAATTACTTGAGCTCCATATGCTTCAACTTGTGGCATCTAGAGAAATAAAAAAAAATGTATATAATAGAAATAAAAAAGAAACCATTGAACTTACATTAAGATCATCAACAAAAACGACCTATAAATAAAGCAAGTTGATATCAATTTTATTTATCTTACAAAAACTTACGCATTTTTGTCCAACGGGTGGACCATAAACACCTTTTCGTCGTTTATCTAATTTTGACATAATTATATCTTGTGATTGACCTGCACTTGTTTGTGCCGAAAAATTAATAAATATTGGTTTATATACAGCTTTATCACATTTACGTAATAAATATTCAATAATATAAGCTGATTTACCCGTACCAGTTGGACCAACAACAAGTACAGATTTTTGATGTGTTATAAGCATATTAAGTAATGTTGTAAAACGTACTGTATCTAATGTTTCAACAATAATTTCATTAAAAAGTGTATCTTTTGATATTGGTGGAACACTATGAAGTTGATATGACCATGGTACCCAATATTGATTACCTTCTTCAGCATCAGCTGGTTTTTCTTGATTACTATCATCTTCCTAAACACACAAAAACATATTATGCTTTATATATATATATAATGAAAAGAAAAATTAATTTACTGGTTGTTCAGAAACAAATTGATAATGATAAATAGTTAAATTATCTGGTAATACAGCTGTATATGGTTTTGGTGGTGGTGGAACAGAATCCAAAAGACCATAATCTTTTTTCTCTTCATCATTAATACCAGATGCAATTATTTTACGTAAAAATAAATCAAATTTAACTCGACTATTTGTATCACCTGTAATACCAATTGACCAAATTAATGCGAATAAAAACATTCCTTCAATCCATGCAAAGATTTCTTTTGTTACATAAGATGCAACTTTTTTTGGATCTTCAAATTTATCAAATTGACAATCGAGTATATTCATTAGTGAACGTACAAGATTTGAATCACTTGTTGGTGATAATTCTTTCAAACCACCTTTACGTAAATAAGCAATACATGGATCAATAAAACGTTCAAATAATTCAACAATTAATTTTTTATGACTTTCATTTAATGTTGGTGGAGCCATATTTAACCATGAAGTAAATATAGGACGCCAACCAAGTGAAGCTGGTTCCATATAGATCATACCACAACGTGAAACCTTAAGAAATAATATATTCATTTTCTTTATTTTTATCTACTAAAATAATAAACTTACAGTAGCAGGTGATGCTTGTTCAAGATCCATAGGTTCAAAAACTAAATTCGTTGTTTTTGCTAATTGAATAATTTCACCACTATTTAAACATAATTTTTTATTATCATCTAATACAGTATTCATATTCTCAATCCAAATAGCATCAACAGGACCTATTTAATTAAAATTAAAAAAAAATTATTTTCAAGAAAATATATTCTTACCATCGAATAATAACCATTTACGATCAGGTGTTGTTGATATAGCAAATTTACGATAATTAACAGCTAAAACACCATCACTCCATTCGTGACTTACAGGATCAAATTGACCATATAATTGACCAATTGTAACTGATTTTGGATTAATAACTGTGTATTCTGCTTTATTTTCATCCATTTGTCCCTAAATTATTTATTTGAGTAAAAAAAAAGTTTATTTTCTTCATCTTTATTATTACTTTTTCATGGAGAATAGCTAATGCTGATGCTAATGTTCTATAAGCACTTGTTTTTCCACCCATTGGTCCTCCAACAATCATAAAACCATGTCTTACAATCATCATTTCATAGATTTGTTGAATTTTTTCTAAGAAAAATGGTGTACATTGTAAATTAGAATCTTTACATGCTTGTTCAACAGCAATATTCATATGTTCATAATCTGGTGTTGGTAATTTAACACCAGGAAATAAATCACTTGTGATACCCTAAAATAAATAGTAAGAAAAATTAAACCTATTTTTTTCTCATATTTTCTTTTATATTTACAGCAAATAATGGTAAATCACCAGCTAAAAATTTCGGTAAATTAACGTCAATAATTGAACGTAAAACAAGAATATCTTCATTTTGATCGGGATATTTTAACTGATAAAGAAAAACGAATAGGTTTTGTTTCATATATTTCAAAAACTAACTTTAAGATTTTTTGCAGCAATTAAAACGGATATGACAGCACGCATACCATAATCATAATGATGTTGAGATGATAATTGTTCAGAACATAAACGATATGTTGCAACGATTTTAACGGCTAATGGTCGAGCATTAACGAAACCAGAAGAATATAATTTAATTTCACCAATCATACTATAATCCGGAACCTATAACAAATAATAAATATAGCAATTTGTCTTCTTGTGTTGAAAATATTTATCTTACCATCATAGCTACTGGTCGGAAAAGAGCCTAATAAAAAGAAAAAATAATTTTTAAGATTTAGTTTTTTTTGCTTTTACTTTTAAGTTATCTGGTAATTCAGATCGACCCGCATAACCAGGATTCTAGAATATAATATAGAACAATAGTTGAATTAATTAATAAAAGAAATTATTTACCATAGTAATAAATGTAGCACAAGTTGGATCAAGTCTAATATCAGTACCTTCAAAATGAATCATGTCAGCACCTGATGTAATACCACGTTGAATAATTAAAATTTGCTGAGCAACGACAGATAATACTTCAAGATCAATACGACTACACAAAAAAAAGAACTCAATATATATATGATATTTTAAAGAAAAACTTACTTGAATTCATCAAAACAAGACCAAGCTCCACATGATGCAAGACCCTAATATAAAATATTTAATTATTCTTAAATATTGAATCAGATTTTACTCACTTTGAAAAATTTTCCCAATGCTTTATAATCCATAGCATCGGAACAATTGAAGACAATACATTGTTTAGCAACTGCTTTAGCTAAATCTTTTGTTGTTTCAGTCTAATAATCATATATTAATATATTTATGTATTGAACAATTATTAATAAATGTATTTACTTTTCCTGTTCCAGCTGGACCTTCTGGTGCACCACCCAAATGTAAATGTAAAGCAGAAAATAGTGTACTACACAAAAAAAAAGAATCAGATCATTTTATATGAATCTTCTAGTTTTCTTACCGATAACATCGATCAGTTAATGGTGTAATAACAAGTCGAGAAGAATTACCAAGATATTCATAACCATATTTTAAACTTGCATTAATCATACGTGTTAATAAACTTTCTTCCTAAACATAATAGATTATTTTTTTTTATTTCAATCAAAAAGAGTTTTCAGATGAAATATTCATACCTCCCAATAATATCGAAGTTGTGCTAACCATAAGAAATCATCTTCTTTTGAAACTTTTGCATCAACTAATGTTGTTAAAACATCACGTGCATGTACATCAAGTACAACAAGAGCTTCGAATGTTGCACGATTTTGTTCCGATAATTTACCACGTACAAGTTCGACAATTTCATTAATTTGATCATTATTTAATTGTAAATATGCTTCAAGTGCCTAAGAAATAGAATAAAGAATATTTTGAAAAAATTGTTTGTATTTTTATTTTACTGCTTGTCCTTCGACAATCGATCGATGAATATGCATTGTCCAGTAATACATTGAAACAGCTAAAACAGCTTGACCCATCCATGATCGAACCCAAAGAACACGACGTTTCTTTTGATAATCAACCATTGAATCAGCAATAACTTTATGAACGGATGTAATCATAATACTTTCTAATTCTGATAACCATTTTTCTACTTGACCACGAGCTTTTGATGTTGAAATTGTTTCTTTTAATTCTACAATTTCACCTTCACTAGATTTCATATGTGTAATATCAAGACTTTCAGTAAATTGTACTTTATCAATACCCTCAAAACATTTACGTAAATGAGGTTGAACACTAAAATAAAAATGAATTATTACCTTATATTATCAAAATTTTTTATTTACCGAGTTGGATCTTTCGTTTCAGATAGAATTTCTAATAATTCTTCATTTGATAAAAAGAAGAAACGAGCAAAGAATAGACGTTTCTTTTCAAGATATGCATTAAGACCCTAGAAAATAAAAAATGAAAAATTTTCCTTTGTTTGTGTATTTCAATTACTTTAAGAATAAGTTCTAATGAAGCATCAGATTTTTTTAATTTTTCTAACATTTTATCAATTTTAACAATGACTAATGCATGTTTATCTTCTAAACATGTTTTCATTAATTCACGCCATGTTTTATCAACGGATGCAAATCGACGACCTTCTTCAGGCATTTGTGCCATAATATCAGGACTACTAAAAATTGGTTCAAGATAAAGCCAATTCTTTTGTACAGTTAACCAAACATCAAGAATATCTTGCATCATAGTCATAATACGTTCCCAATCTCTGAAATTAATTTAATTAAAGAAAAATACTCGAAACCAAAACAAAATATGTCAACTTACAAAATTTCTTTTTGAAATGGTCCAATATATGGTGAACCTTTCATTGTTTGAGTTTTAACAATATGATCATCAAGTAATAATTGAATATCATCAACAGCTGATAAAACATAAGTACCAGTTTCACGATAAGGAATTATTGAGAATTCAATCTATATTAATTTAAATTAATTCGATGATATGTTTTTTCTAAAAAATAAACTTACATTTTGCCAATCTTTTTTCATTTTTTCCATAGCTTTTTCTAATGAAAATTCTTTTGATGCTGCTTCACTTATTTGTTCAAGTTTAGGTATATGTGACATTAAATCCATTTCAATAACTTTATTTAAATTTGTATCATCATCTGGTTTAAATGGACGTCCAATAATAGCTGATATTTGTTCCCAATGACGATCACGTAAACCAGGATTGAATAATGTTTGAATTAATGGCATTTTTTCTTTAAATTCTCCAACTTGTATACGTAAACGATTCGCCATTTTACGTGGTTGAGGACTATTATTAAATTGTCGTTCAAGTTTAAACAATTGTCGTTCATAATTACCAACATCTTGCTCGACGACATCAGGTTGAACTTTACTTCTTGGACCTTCCGTCCAATCACTATTTGAATTAACAAAAAGAAAAAAAAGGTAACAAATTTAATTAATCAATATACATACACAAGTTTATTTGTAAATTCAACACCAGTTTCATATAATTTCAAATATGGTTGTAATTGATTTAGTGTTTGCTGACGAATAGGATAGCTTGTTGTGTCCCATTTAAATGCTTCTTCTTCAATATTAAATTGTTCAATCTAGAGTAAATAGAATTATGTTTTGTTTCATGAATAAAATAATATTTTACTCGATCAGCAGCTTGTGTTAATTTTTGTTCGAGATATTGAGCTTTTTTATAATAACGTGGTAATTCTTTAATATTACCCATTTCTTGAAGTTCTTCAACTTGTTTAGCATAATTATCAAGTTCTTCAACAAAACGTTCACGTTTTAACTAGAAAAATATTTTCAGTATGATAAAAAAATAAATAATTTTCATATCTTACTGTTAAACCTTCTTTAAATTGTTCAGTTTTTTCTTTTGCAATCGTTGCATGTTCTTCAAATGCAGCTGGCATACGTTCAATCCATGAAAACATTTGTGTATTTAAACGTAAATCTGCTGGTGGTAATTCTGTATGATCAAGTAGAAAAAGTAATTCATCTTTAGCTTGAACAAGACGTTTTTCAAGATCAGGTATTGTTTGAGTTTTAGATTTTGTTAAAAATGCAACTATTTCCATTAATTCAGCTGTACTCATTGGTGTACGTACAGCTTGTTCAGCAATACGTTCAAATTGACCAATTAATCTAAGAAAATAAGGATTTTGTTGTATATTTTCAATATAAAACAAAAAAAAGAACTTACTCTTCACCCAATTCTCGATGAACTTTAACCATTCGCTCAAGTAAACGATTCATACATACTTCTGCTCGTTTAGCTAATGAACGTATTAAATCATTACAATGTATTTCAAACATTCCACGACGAACAATTTTTTCAAGACCATATGTTATTTCATCAATTTTTCCTTTATATTTTAATACTTCTTGTATATAACCATTAAATGAATGTTCTTCACTTAAAAATTGTTCAACATCAGCATCAGCCTGTTTTGTTATTAAAACATTATATGGTTCAAATGTTGATGCATGTTCAGTTGGACCTTCAAATTCTAATTGTAACATTTCACGTACACGTTCTTTATGTGTTTCCAATATTGATGAAAGTATAACAGGTGTTAAATTTTGACTATCATTTTGATTCTAAATTGAAAATAAGAATGAAGAAAATTTATTTCAATAACAAAAAATACATACGGCAGCACGATCAGAAAATAATTTTGATTCTATTCTTGGTAAATTACTACATTTAGCAATAATTAAATCGTACATTGAAAGAAAAACTGTTTCAAAATCACTAAGTGATGGTTCAAATTTGATTCCTTCGTCACTTAAAAACATATTAACAATAAAACCTTAATAAAATATATATAGATATTTCTTTTTTTTTGAAAATAAAAAATAATTCTAATTTCATACCACTATGTTCATAATTTTCAATTGATTCAGGTGGTGTTATAAGTAAATTTGTATAATCATCAATAGTAAATAATGCCATATCTTGTAAACATTGTGTCATTAATGTTGCAACAGTATTAAAAAATGAACGAAATTTTGGATCATCTTGACTGGGAACAATTCCTCGTTTATGGCCTTGATAAAATACTGTCTGAATATCACTTATCCATCTAGATTATAAAAAAAATCAAATTATATTTTTTTCTCAGTAATTAGTTATTCATACCGTTTAGCTAATTGTTCTCTTGCTGAATCCATATGTCGTTTACAAACTGTATGAAAAGTCGAAAGTTCAATAGCTTCTGTTCGTTCACGAAATTCATCACAATCAATAATTCTTAATTTTCTAAAAGAAAAAAATATCGAGAAAATAAAAATGAAAGATTTCGTTTTCTTGTTGAATTTACTTGAAAACATTTTTATGCCACATTGATAAAACTTGTGCCATAGCTGGATTAATTGAATGAAGATTTTTTTCAATAAATTTTTGTGCATTAACAAATGCTGCATGCCATGGTTTTGGTAAAATAGCGATTTCTTGACGATGTGGAAGAGTTTCTTCTTTAGGTTCTTGTTGTGCTTCATGTGGATCACGAAGAACAAAATCAACTGTACACAAGAAACAAAAATAAGAGAAAAAAATTCAAATATTCTATTACCAATTGCTTTTTTAACGCTTAATAAATAATCTTCTTTCATTTCGTCTGTAAGAGTATTAACTAGTGGTTCCCAACTTTGTCGTAAATCATTTGGAAGACGTGCAAGTGTATCATTTATTCGATGTTCATCTAATTCAGCAACATATTCTGTATCAATACCATTACGAACATAGAAATGATAACGCTATAATAAAAAGAATTATATTTCAATATTAATTTAATATTGAAATATTCTTACAAGAATATCTTTTTCAACGGATGTTAACATTTCAGAAGAACCTGGTGGATTATCATTCTCATTCATATATAAATCATTCAAATCATTGCCACCATTATTTTCTGTATGACTATTAAAATAGAGGAAAAAAAAGCAATATTTTATTATCGAGTGATTGAGCGTTTGTTTTTCTTTAGCTTACGTAACAATGTCAACAAGAGCTTTACGAAAATCTTCACGTTGTTTTTTTGTATCAACCATTTTACGATGGGCAACTTCAAGTGCTTTTGCATCAGGGCTACGTACTGGTCCATGAAGTCGTTTTCGTTTTGGATCATCTATATTAATAAGAATAAAATTAATGGTCAAGCTATCTTCTTAGCAACCAAAGTTGATCATCATTTATATTCTTTTTCTTGTATGCTTTAGGGTGATATATATATATTAAAAACTTATTTAAATTGTTTACATTTTTAGATGATTTCAATAGAAAACTTTATATTTCGAAATTTTATTGTTATTTTTGTTGTTATGTGTCCTAACTACAAACAAACATACTTTCGAGAAGTTCTTGTAAAAATCGCTCATTTTCCGTTGCCACTTCGTTAAGTTTACTCTTTCCGGGAACAAATAATGGTGGTCGAGGTGTTGTCCATTGTGGCTTAACACGCACTTCGGGTAATTGAGGTAGAAACTTCGCTGGATCATTTGTACCTTTTCCTTTAGTACCTTCACCACGAAGACCAATTCGATTCTATTTAATAATAAAAATAGTTTAATTATATAAACTATTGAAGGTCATATAAAGTGCAAATTTTAATACCTGTATATCGGCCATGAATCTGTGTATGAATTCTTGATCAACACAGAAAATGAAAATGTATAAATGTATGTAATGCCATTGTCAACGTATTTACAAGTTTGATTTCTAAGCAACAAATGTCCTTCGGAAAGATTTAAATGGCGATTAAGAAACTAAGAAAAAATCTTTTATATTTATTAAAAACTTCTTTTTCGTATTTGAAAACTAGTTTTCGTTTTCGTCTATAAAATATTTTCTTAAAAATGTATTTTATCTGAATAACGACATCTATTGCATGATTATATATTTCCTTTTTCTTTTTTTTAAATTTTATTTTTCTTTTCTATACAAGTGACGCTGGATCGAACAATATAAAACAATCAATACAACATAAAAAACTATTATGTGAAAGTTTTTTTTTATTTAATTTTTTACATTTGCTGCTTGCTGTTGTTGATGATGATGATGAGTCTAAATCAATTCTTTCACTTTTTTGTATTGTCATATCATTTGGAATTGATGTTATTGATGAACGTCGAAGTAAATTTAATGATACAAAACAAATATTATCTTGACGATAAGTCATTTTACGTTGACATTTATAACATACACGTTGTAAACATATTGTACAACGAATACCTGGTTGTAATAGAGAAAATTGAACTTTTCGACATGAAAAACATATATGACCATTAACAACATTTTTATATAATTTAAAATCATAAAGTAATGTAGCAAATTCACTATTTGTTTGTGCATTTCGTATATGAGATAATTCATCGAAATTTAATGGAACATAGAGATTTTTCTTAATTGATGGTTGTTTTATGTCGAGTATTAATGATGATGATGGTTCAGATATTGGAGCTGAATTAAATGGTGTAAGATCATCTATGTTAAGATTAGATGAGGATGAAGAAATAAAAATATCAGTATTAGTTGATTCCGTATCTTCATCATCTTCAATTAAAATTGGTTGAACACGTTTTCGTCCAGGCGTCGTCGACATCGATCGTTCGTCTGTTTTATTTACTTGGCGCGAATCAGTTAAATGTTTACATTTTATGTATAGAATTAATATATTTGTAGAACGAAAGAAAGTAAAAATCATTTTCTTTCTAATCCTCGTCCAAAATGTATGAATACAATTAGGGAATCAAAATCTCATAAAAATAAATGATAATAACGAAAATATTTCAAATACAATTATTATGTAACATTCTATTTCATTTTATGTTTACTTTTTTTAATCAATTATAAAAAAAAATAGAAGCAAAGAAAAACAATACTCTATTTATTCATTTTAAAATTGAATTATTTTAATAGTTTTGAATTGATAAGCATGGTTATTGAAAATATTAAAAGATTTTTTTACAGTTACCCATCGGCACTTTTCAATGAGACCATACTTCATAGTTTAATTGACTCAAACATACATGCTATTTTCTTCATGATTAAAAAAACAAATAGATTACCATGTCTACACAAAAGCTTTCTTTTTTACATAACAACAATGATGAATTATATAAAACTTTATCTATTAAAAAAAATTTATTTTCATACTTCTTCGAAGAATACAAAAAAAATATATTTAATTACATTTTTTTTAACAATTGACAGATGTCTATGACATTTAATGTTCAATTAATCAATGGTTTATTATTTTTAAAGTGTTTGTTCACATTTTCTTGTATTAATATCAATAATTGCAGTAATCAATGGATTGCTAACTAAAATAAGATCATCACATAATCGATTGACATAACTAAAAATATGTTTGCCACCATTAACAGCTGACCAAGCACATACAGCAGCAGAAATAACTACACCTACGACAGCCGTACTTGCAGTAAGAGCAATACGTGCACCTCCAGTTAAAACAATAGCAGTAGGTGCAGCTACACGAATAATATCATCAGAAAATGGAGCTCCAGCTATAAAAGCTCCACCAACTGCTGCTCCTAATGAACCTTTTTTTGCTCTTAATTTCATCGTTGTTGCTGTAACACAGTTTTCAAGTGTTGATGTTTGTAAACAAGCATCATCGATACTTAAACGAAATTGACTTAGATATTGACAAAATTCTTTTGTAATACCAAATGCTTGTCGAATATGATCTCTTGCAAGATAACGTGGTAATTGATCACCAAAAGGTATAATAGCAGCTAATCCAGCTGCAATTTTATAATTAAATACATTCAATACATAACCACGACGAAAACATACATTGATTACACGAGATACGGCTCGCATTGCTAATGCATGTATACGACGTTGACGTGCATCACATGCCAATCGTCCTAATTCATCAACTAACATATTCATATCAAATACTTGTTCTTTCAATAAAATTTCAGCATCAGAACTTGCTGGCATATAATCAGCTGCTATAAGATAAACTTGATGTGATGCAATTTCATTATCAAATCTTAATTGTTCAAGAATTGTTGTTGTAAATTCTTCACGTTGTGCTGGTGTACTATTACCATAACATATACCTGAACGTTCACGAAATTTAGTCAAAAAATCAATATCAACTTTAGATCGTACTAGAATACATTGTCGTTTTAAATTATCTTCAATAAAAGTAATCCAACCATGTTGTTCATAACGAAGTTTTTCATCAGATACTAATATATAAATATCACAATCAGCTTTGCGTATTTCATCTAGATAATTGCCTGGTTCAATATGATTACTAACTGTAGCTGTATCATTATCATGACCCTGAATATCAACTAATGTTACAGTTGTTGCCTTTAATCGATCATCAGGAGATTTTAAAGGTTCTTGTCGATCAAATTGTAATTGATAATAAGTACTTTTTATACTACGTACTGGTGAAGATTCATCTGTTTTCAAATCTTTAATACCGAGTAGACGATTGAGAAGAGTACTTTTACCAACACATGTATAACCAATAATACCAATTTTAGCACGTACAATACCATGACGATGATTCGACCATTGATCTTTAAGATCATTTTCAATTGCTAATATTAAATCAAATATTTTTGGTTGAAATTGATCACTTGAAGCAAGTGCACAATTCCATTCGATCATTTTAGCATGAGTATTTGAAAAAGCTCTATAAAATTCAGCATCGGAAATATCAGCAAGTAAACGTTCACATAATCGTATATAATGTGAACCAATATCAT